TTGAGAGCCAGTGCTAAGTCCTAGACACACTTGTGAGTGTGACAGGAGCCATCATGCTCTGGTCTCAAACACTGGCAGCCTGTGTCCAATCCTGGCTTGGCAATCTCCTAGCTTGAGCAACTGACCTCACCTCTCATGGCCTCAATTTTCTCATCTGTAAAATTGTAAAATAAGGGGCTAGGGGCACAGCTCATGGTAGACCACTTTCCTAGCATGCTTGAGGCTCTGGGTTTTAATCTCCAGCACTGCAAAAGGTAAAATAATAGCACTTAACCTTGTAGGATTTTTCTAAATATTAAAAAGCCTGCTGTATGAAGTGCTTGAGTCATCTTTTTTTTTTTTTTTTCAGTAATGAGAATTGAACTCAGGGCTTCTTAGTAGCTAGGCAGGCAGTCTACTCTTGAGCCACAGCCCCCAGTTTAGCCTCTGTCATCTCAAGCTGCTCTAGAGCACATGGGGAAAACACTGTCCTCTGTGGGCAGATACAGCCTCACACTAAAGCCCACCAAAACCTTGACTCGTGTCCTAAACTAGGAAACCTTGTAAGTAGCCTGTGCAAGTGTATACAGTAGGTGCCTGGGAGGCAGATATAGGTATATCCCCATTTTCCCATGAGGCCACTGTAGCTTAGAGAAGTGGAACATCCTGTACTGGCAATGGGATGGAACCATTACTTCGAACTCACCAGTCCCTGTGACTCTTCCACCATCTGTGTTGTGGACCATATTTCTTGATCACTAATTTATCAGCTTAAGCCTTATCTGTCGTCCACAGTGGATGGCAACCAATTACCTTCCTATAGATTACCATTAATCTCTAGTCTCTAAACTGTTCCTTTGATAATCATTTAAAAAAACTTAAGATTTTTTGGGGGTGGTGGGGTGGGACTAGGGTTGAACTCATTGCTTTGTGCTTGCAAAGTAGGCACTCTACCTCGAGCCAAACCTCCAGTCCATTTTTTCCTCTGGTTATTTTGAAGATGAGGTTTTGAGAATCATTTTCCCCAGACTGGCCTCAAACTGTGATCCTCCCTATCTCAGCCCGCTAAGTAGCTATGATTATAGGCGTGAACCACCAGCATCCAGCAAGATGTTATTATTATTTATTTCTTTTGTGGTACTAGGGTTTGAACTCAGGGCCTACATCTTGAGCCACTCCACCAGCCCTTTTTTTTTTTTTTTTTTTTTTTTTTTTTGTGATGGATTTTTTTTTGAGATAGGGTCTCAGGAACTATTTATCTGGGCTGGCTTCGAACTGCAGTCCTCCTGATCTCTGACTCCTGAGTAACTAGGATTACAGGTGTGAGCCACCAAACTCAGGCACAAGATGTTATTTTGAAAGAAGGGAAGAAGGGAAAGAATGATGGATTTCCATTCAGGTATCTTCCTGACACTACTGGTTTTCTGCCAGCAACCAGAAGAGTTTGAGGCTTGGGAATTGCTGTTAAAGCATCTAATCTGCTCGAGCAGAGAATTTCCGTTCACTCTAACTGTATTTGGCCTTTTGAAGGTTTATGGCCTAAGTCTGTTCTTTTTCACTGGTGTTCATTTGGTGTCTCCTGGGTGCCACTTTAGCGGGAGGCCTGCTGGGAAAATATCCACTCAATACCTAGACAGCAAGGACTAAAAATATTGTGTGGAATTGTCCTAAGGCTGAAAGATCAGTGTTAGCAACACAAACATCTCCTTCAAAATGAGGCGAAGCAGATTTCAGCCTTGTTACTTTTCCCTCTCCCTTCTGGGGTGCCTAGGAGTATATTACACAGCTGGCGATGCTAAGGGATGGATTAATTAAAGGTTCTCGCCCCTCATTTCTGAATCCTCCCATCACTTCTGTGATCATCAGGTAGCAAAAACTACCTGACCCTGAGAGTGGGTCCTGTGTCATAGAACCATGCATGGTGCCAAGGAAGGACCTGTGTGCTGGCTCTACTGAATATCTGTGTGTGTGTGTGTGTGTGTGTCCATGTGAATCTGTGTAGTATGCAGATGGTACACTTTCACAGGCAGATCACTGGGTAAACTGAGGGAATTGATCATCAGAGAATTGATTTGTTCACAGAACCCTGAGTATAACTGAGGAAGCTGCCAGTGATTCTCCAACTTACTGAACTCTCTCTAAGCATCTGCCTTGAATGGTACAATCTCAAAACATAGCTTGGATTGAAACAGCTGCCACAGAGCCAGCAGCCTTGGATGGTGTGAATATCCCCAGGTGATACGAGAAAATTAACACATATGGAAAGAGAAATTTTCTAAGGCTCGGAACTACCACCTTCCCAGCAACCTCCCACCAGAGTGACACCCAGGAAACACCAAATGAAAGCCAATGAAAAGGAAGCAGACTTGGCCCACCTGCCTTCAAAAGACCAAATACAGTTAGAGAGAACTAAAATTATCTGCTTGAGCAGACTAGATGTTTTAACAGTAATTCTCAGGCAGATAACCAATAGTGTCATATTGGATTTTTAGGTTTGGCTGTTAAATTTGGACTAGTGTGAGTTTGTGTTTGATCAAACCTGTGAAACTGGAGCAGGATCCCTGGTGGGAAGGCCTGAGATCTAGCTCAGTGACTTAGAAGCTGTGTGATTGTGGACAAGGTTTTGAATGGTACAGTTGCCTCATCAAGAGTCCGAATTCTTATCTGTACAATGAAGGAAACAGCCTTTGTTCTGCTTGCTTGCTAGGGGGTCATGATGTTCAAGTGAGATGGGGCTTGGGTACTCTGAAAGCACCGTCCTCATGGCTGGGGAATTATGTACACAGGTGGGATGGTGAATGCTTTCTGCCTCTTACCAATTCTCCATTTACTTTACTACAGCAAATTCCTCGTTCTTGCAGCAAGATGCTTTTTGAAAGTATTATATTTAGACCAGTGCAGTGACTCAAGCCTGTAATCCTAGCTACTTGGGAAGTAGAGATCGGGAGGATGACCATTGAGGTCAGCACAGGCAAAAAGTTTGTGAGACCGCATCTCACCCAATGGCTAGGCGTGGTGGTGCCTGTGTGGGGAAGCACTGATAGGAGGGTGGTGGTCCAGGCCGGCCAGGGAATCAAAGCAAGACCTTATCTGAAAAATAACCAATGCAGAAAGGGCTGGTGGCACGACTCAAGTGGTAGAGTGCCTGCTTCCCAAGTGTAAAGGCCTGAGTTCAAATTTCCATACTGCCAAAAAAAAATCATTTTTAGAGCTGAAATCAATGTATGCTTAGTTGCCCTATTTATCAGCCAAGCCCTCTGAAAATGAGGGGAAAAAATGGTAATTGAGGAAAAATAGACCCAGAGAGATGGCAGGCCAAGGGCACAAAGAATTCCCATCTTGACATTCTTTCTTTCCTTGGTCACACTGACATCTAAATCCAAGCCAAAGATTCTGGCCAAAAGTTATGCCCCAGTTCCTCCAAGTCCCCCTCCCTCCACATCTCCTCCCTCCAGGTGGAAGTTCCAGGTCAACTTGTCCTGAGCCACACTGGGCACAACTTGGACCTCCGAGTTCTAGGTGTAGAATATGTGTTTGGTAAATATTTATAAGATAGAAGAATAAAAATGGAGTCTTCAGTTGTTCTCAGCCTACGTTTCTGCATACACAGAACAGGAGACAACACGTTCACCATATCTCAACAAATCTGTGATGCCATTTTTCTAAAAGACAAAGTTTTTTTGTTTTGTTTTGTCTTGCTTTCTGGTGGGATTGGGGTTTGAATTCAGGGCTTAACACTTACAAAGCAGGCACTCGATCACTTTAGCCACACCTCCAGTGCATTTTGCTCTGGTTATTTTGAAGATGGAGGTGTCTCACAATCTATTTTCCTGGACTGGCCTTGAACTACAATCCTGCCAATCTCAGTCTCCCAAGTAGCTAGGATTACAGGTGCGAGCCCTCGGTCCCTAGCTAAAACACAACATTTTTATGTACCCCAAAGAAAGAAAAAGCTTTATCAGTTAAAATGCTTCCTCACCTTATTAATTATAAGATATACTTTGGATTTCACAGATTTAAATGTGTAAGATCTACCTTAGAGTAGATGAGATGCCCTAGGTTTCCTCTTACAAAAGGCAAAGCTTTCTCCTGGTGATCCTGGCAGGAAACACTAGCAAACTTGAAACCATCTCACTTTTGGTCTCAGATCCTGGAGGTTATGCATGCTATCCAATCATGCTTTCATGTGGGTGGAAGGGGGACAGTCACTGTTTTCTTATGGGTACGGTGTGGGTATGAAGACAGGTCTAGTCTAGTCTAGTGCAGATCATAAAACACTAGTCAGGGCACAAATCAGTTCTGTGGTCTGTTGTTTATTACAAGATTTGAAAGAGTAAGAAATGTTTAAGAGCAACTGTGTTTTCTTTCTCCCAAGTACTGCTTTTTTGTTGTTTTATTTAATGCTTGATTTGGCTGTTATGTTGTTATTCAATTTATTCTACTTCAGGTAAACCAACTAAACAGTGAGTTCCCACTTGCACAGGGAAGTTAAACACGAGCAGGCGCACACGATGACAGTGTATCTCCTGCCTGGGCTCAGTATGACATTTTCATAATGCCAGAGGGAATTCGTAGTCTTTCTGAGCAGAAGGGAGGGAGGGGAACTGAAAATACAGCCTGGGTGACAATCTCTTGTCAATTTTTCATGGACCAGTCTTTCCATTTAGAATACAAATAAATTCTACAGTTTGGGACAAGAAAATCTCTGTTTGTAGCCTCGTTAGTTACTTTATTCTTCTGTCCTATTGGGACATTATTTATGCGCAATAGCAAAGAGAGTCACACTCAAAGAATGGATTTCTAGGGGACTAGACCATGGCTGGATGGAAAGAAAATGACACAAATTATGGTAGTTCTCCTATGTGCTTTATAATCACTGGGGCACCATGATACTTTGCTCCCTGCCAGGGGTCCCCTTTGCCATTACCGTGATGGGGTCAGTAGCCCTCGTGCTGGACAGGACACTGTCAATGTTTGATCAAGCTAATGTACTTTTCTGTCTATTCTTCTCTCCCCTGCAGTCGGAGTACCACTACGAGTACACCGCGTGTGACAGCACGGGTTCCAGGTGGAGGGTCGCCGTGCCACACAGCCCAGGCCTGTGCACCAGCCTCCCCGACCCAGTCAAGGGCACCGAGTGCTGTAAGCAGCCTTCCTGCTCCAGGGCCTCCCTGCCACTCAGATGCAGCCTCTACCCCAGGCCTCCTACCATCTAAGCCAGGCTCTTCCTGGTGGCGCAGCTGCTTAGAACGTCTTCTTTCCCCCAGTAGTCGCCCTCCCCAACTCTTTTGAAATATGGTGCAGAAATGACATTTCATGGATGCACACTGGGAACCTGAACTTGCTTTTATTTTTTCTTTAAGTTTAAATGCCATATACACAGGTACATACATATGTATTTATTTTCTTTTTCATCTGTGTGTTTCTTCTCTTCAATGTTGCTCACCAGCCATAAGCAGTCATTAGGCAACATTGAAATTTGCTTTTGTTGTTGAAAAGGCAGCCAGAGATGACTGTCTGCAGAGACAAGCCTTTAAAACGCACTGTGCATCACTTGGGGGGGATCTCACTATGCAGTCAGAAAGGCATAGCCATAGCTCCCGTCCTGCCTCTGTGACTCTGTAGTTGCAAATTTTCTACACTTGGCCACTATTTCCTCTAAACACCAGGGGCTAGAATAAGGAATTAGTCCAAGAGCTGGAAAAGAGTTAGAGGGTGTATTGATCCAAGAATCAGCTTAGCCCAGAGTCTGGTTCAAGTGGGTGAGTGTATAAATGCTTGTTAAATTAGTGAATGGATATTGCTGAAATCTGAACAGAGCTGAGGTACAATTAACGGAAATAATCGAGCTGCCTTCGGTTGACTCTGCTGATGTCATTTACCTCCTACTATGTGTTAGCTCCTACTGTTTGTAAGCACTTTGTTTTTGGCAGCACTGGGGTTTGAACTCAAGACCTCACCCTTGCTAGGCAGTTGCTTTTACTGCCTGAGCCACTCCACCAGTTGTTTGTAAGCACTATAAGGAGCCCACGCTGTGTGAGCCACCAAGATGAGTGAGGCACGGTCCCTGCATCCAGGGGCTTGCAGCACAGAGGGGAGAGTAGACATGTATCCCTCCATTCATTGCTTGTGGAGCTTCTGTGATGTTGGTGCCAGTCCCTGAGCCAGCAGTCCCTGGGGGAGCCCAGAGCCTAGTGGGTGGCAGATGGATGTGATATGACAATCCAGTGTGACACAGAACAGGAATTCTGAGCACTTAGTGATGAGGAACAGCTAGAGGATCACCTGAGTGTAAAAGTTTGGAAGTGGAAGGACAGCTTCACGTTCATGGAACAGCATGGGGTCTGGGGTGGAGGCCACACAGATAAGGTGACAGATAGGATTGGAGTAGAGAAAGACATGTTGTAGGAGGCCAGGCCAGAAAGTCAGTCCAGGGGAATTTATAAAAAAACTTCCAATGTCAGGCTAAGCACTTAATGCTACAACAAAAAGGGAGTGTCTGGTTATTGTTTTAATAAAAAGAATAATAATACAAATCCGTGTTTGGCCACAGAATAAGCCAAAATAAGAAATTGGGGACTAGTTAGTTAGGAAGGTATTGCAGTGGTTATTGGGTCCAAGAATCTCAACTAACATGATGGTAGTAGAACCAGAAAGGGAGAGAAAAAGTCAGAGACTCGGGGGTGGGGGGTAGATCAAGGCCAAAGAGCTGAGCCACCCAGAGGGGTCAGCATCCTCCTCACTGTAGTGCTGTCAGAATGGCTGAGGCATCTCCAAGGAAACCAGGTTCTTGGGGATGACACCTGTCTTGAAGCAAGGCAGAGCTTACCTGCCCTAAATCTTTTCTTAATAATTACTTTATTGAGATACAATTTACTTGCCATAAACTTCACCCCTTACAGGATGAATTTCAGTGGCTTTTAGAATATTCACAGCAACTGTCACCACTCTAATTTCAGAACATTTAAACCACCCTGAAAAGAAACTTCCTGTCATTAGCAATCTCTCCCTAGGCCCCACCCCCAGCCCCTGGCAACCACAAATCTGCTTTCTGTCTGTGGCTTTGCCTTTTCTGGGCATTCCATATAAACAGTGTCGCCAGCATGTGCCATGGCCCTGAATCTGACCTCCTCCCTTTAGGATGCTACTTCTCTGGGGGACACAGAGACCCCACCACCTGTCTCTTGTCCCTGCCCTTCTTTCCAGCCTTCTCTTGCAATGCCGGAGAGTTTCTGGACATGAAGGACCAATCTTGTAAGCCGTGTGCTGAGGGCCGCTACTCCCTGGGAACCGGCATCAGGTTTGATGAGTGGGATGAGCTGCCTCATGGCTTTGCCAGCCTCTCAGCCAATATGGAGATGGATGATAGCACCACGGAGTCCACTGAGAACTGCACTTTGTGAGTTTGCTCACACACACCCCTGCTCGCTGGGGAAGGGGCTTCAGGGTACACTGGTTAGTGTCCTCCAGTGGTCCTCAGGCTGGGCAGGGAGGATGTTGGACTGTTCAACTTCCCCACAGAGGAAGCCATGCTGTGGGGGAGGGTTGTAGCAGGTCCCCACAGGACTTCTGACACCTTGGCCCATTCTTACTTGGGGTTCCCAATGATGGGCAGACATTTGTGAGAGTGAAAAACATGGAGAAAAAGAGGCCAGTAGATCAGGGGACAAGGGTTAAATGGCCCTGACAATTTAAAATAAAACCCAACTGGATTCTACCATGGAATTTTGAATCAGCCAATAAACTTCTCCAACCAGAATGGAACACAATGGGCAAAATATTGGGTATCTTCCTAGCTTTGGTGTTAAACTTCTAAACTCTTTCTGCCTAATCAGAGTTTATGGGTTTTTTTCTGGGGGTGGGGTGGTGGGCTACACTAGGATCGGGCTTTGGCCCATGGTGACTGAGAACTTCCAAACCTTTTGAGACTCCAATAACCAGAAAAAGGCATCCAGATGCACTTGGACAGCTGATACTTATTTGAGAGGCACCTTTTTTGTGCTGCACTATGCCAGATACATTACATATTTAATTTTCTTTAATCTGCACAGGAACCAGGTGAAATAGGTGTTATGGCTCCCATTTCAGAGATGAGAACCTGGAGGCTCATCTGCCTTTGTTACCTAGCTTGCAACTGGTGAGCTTGGAATTCAAGACCAGTCCAAGCTTTTGACTACCCTGTACTGCCACCTTCAAATAAATTTCTTATGTGCAAGGTAGGGCTGTTCCTAGATAATAAAATCTGGAGGCTTCAAAGATGCAAAAAGCGATCACACATTGCTTTTGTTAAATATTATATCCAAGCAAGTAAATGGATAAGTAGGACTGAAAAAGCAGGCGTGGTGGTGCACAGCTGTAATCCTGACACTCAGGAAGTAGAGGCAGGAGGATCGTGAATTCAAGGCCAGCCTGGGCTACATAGAGAAGACTGAAGAATTGCATTACATGTGGATTTCTAAAACTGAGAGCAATGTTTCTTATTTCTATACTTACATCTCCCAGAAGTACCAGTGTCTGAGCCATGTAGCAGACATTCAACAGTCCAACTTTAATGTTATTTCAGAGTTCAATTTCATGTATAATAATCACTAGCATGTTAACGTTGGGGGCAGAGAGAAAGCTAGAGGATTACAGGAGAGGAAAGGGAAGGTGTGGGTTAAGAGCCAACCGCCACATGGGTTCTAACAGGAAATCCCATTTGACCCTGGATAAGGTGCAGACCTGGCTCGCTTAATCACTTCCTAGCTTGCAGAGGAAGGGTTTCACCGCTCTCTGGGGGCTGTGCCGAGAGGGCAGAAATCATTACCTCTCAGCCAGGCAGGATGTGGGCCAGTTAATAACCACTTGTGTTTCCACGGCACAGCCGGGCTCAGCCTGGAGCTTACGGCATCCCACAGCATCCCTACGATGGAGGCGGAGGATGTTTCTCTTCTGCAGAAATGAAGAGGAGATGGCTGCCTGGAGAGGTTTTGAAAGGCAATAACTGAGAAGTACCACAAGCCCAAGTGTCTGGCTTTCAAAGTGTCAGGATTCAACCTGAAGTCACCCCCACTGCCTCCAGCCTGAGCTGAGCCAGCGGTTGCCTCCTGCCTGCTCTGCCTCCTCCGCCTCCAGCCCCCCCCCCCCCCCCCCCCCCCCCCCTGCTTCCACCTCTTGCCTCTTTCAGGTCACATCCACCCAGCAGCCAGAATGATCTTCTGAGAATACAAATCTAATCTCAGTACTTTCCTGCTCAAAACCTGGGTTCTGAGGATACCCATTGCTCTTGGGATAATATCCAATACCCTTCACAGCCTGCAGGGCCCTGCCAGTCTGCCCTCTGCCCTCTGCCCTTTCCCCAGCCTCTCTCAGGTACCTTTCAAAATTCTTTGTTCTGGTGCAGAAGTACTGGCTGCCTAGCTCCTCCCCATTCCTCTCCCTAGCTGACTCTTACTTATCCCTCAGGTCTCTGCCTAAAAGTCACTTCCTCAAAGAAGCCACCCCTGAGCCCAGAGACTCCTGTTACTTACTCTCATATCACTTGTAATTCTCCTTATGGCGTTTACCACAGATAATGGTGAGCTGACTATGTGATTAGTTAAATTTCTGTCTCCACATCTAGAAACAGGATTCAAGCTCAAGCGGGAGAGGGTTGAGTCTGTCTTGCTCCTTGCTGTATCTCCGGCATTTAATAGTGTCAGGCACAAAATAGACCTAGAATAAATCGCTGGGAACAAAACAAATGGACAGAGTCTCCATGCCGATCCCAAGACTGCAGAGAACCCTCCATGATTCCAGGTGCATGTCCCCAGGGCTGAGGTGCTAGGAACAGCCTGAGGTTGGAGCCCGGGATGAGCAGGAGGGAATAGCAGTGAAGTGGGGGGAATAGGAAGGTTGTCTTGTATTAGATTAGCAGAGAAGAAGAGCACAAGACCAAATACTGACACTATGAATGTGAGAAAGAATGTCAGAAAGCTGGGTGCTGGTGGCTCATGCCTATGATCCTCGCTATTTGGAGGGCTGAGATTGGGAAGATTTCAGCTTGAGGCCACCTAGGGAAAATAATTCATTCATTTCCAAAAATAATCAGAGCAAAATGGACCGGAGGCATGGTTCAAGTGGTAGAGCTCACCTGCTTTGCAAGTGCGAACCCTAAGTTTAAACCCCAGTCCCACAAAAAAAAAAAAAAGAAAAGAATGAGAGAAAAATAGATGAGGATATTAAAAAGACATAGACATTAAAAATTAAAGCACATGCAGACCACAACTGAATGACCTGTAGCAAATCTAATTACCTCTGTTCTCAGTTTCTGCTTCGTAAAAATGATGATGGAGAGAGACCTCTTCTTACAAGATGTGATAAGAATTAAATAAGATGACATGTGAAAAGGACTTAGCTGGGCATGGTGGCACACACCTGTCATCCTAGCACTCAGGAGGCTGGGGCAGGAAGATCATGAGTTTGAGGCCAGCCTCAAACTGTATCTCAAAATAAAGAATTCATCAAATTAACTAAAAAAGTACATGGAAGGATGTGAGTAGGTTACAGGCAAAGAATTTAGAGTAATGCCTCTGGCACTAGAGAGAAATCAATCAAAGCCTGTTGTTATTATTGAATGTGAAATGTCTCCACTAGGGACAAGTCTGGCAAAAATCAGAACTGTGATGCATTTTGCAAATGTAACCCATGACGGCATCCTTTTAATTATTCATCAAACTTCAGGAGTTATTTATAGCTGATGCTGTGGAATCCATTAGCATTAAAGTTCTCTTTGAACAAGAAGAATCAATGCTATTAGGCCAGCTGGGTGCTTTGGGATGAGTTCAGCTTACATTTCTGTTCTGAGAGTAATACTGACCGTTAAAGAGCTTGAAATACCATGTTATTTTGGCACACACAGGGGAAACCTGTGGACAGACTTGAGATTGTCTTCACTGGCCATGACTGAGCAGTGGGAGACCAGGGCTGGCTCACGGTGAGACAGTGGGATTGACTTGGATTGCCCCTTTCTGCAAGACCTTTTGCTCTGTGAGCCCCTCTTGGGTGCCAGGCCCAAGGCTTGCTCCTGAGGATGCATTAGCGCACAAGATAAATTTGGTGTGTGCCCTCATGAATCTACAGGCTAGCCAGGAATACAGACAACTGAGGGAGAATTTTTAAAAACCTGATCAGAAGAGGAAACCCAGAGAGCAAACAAGCTTCAAAAAAAGATGCTTACCTCCACCAGTAACCAGGGCAATAAGATTTAAAGCCCAGCTAGCCACAAATTCCCGACCACATCATACTGGCAACAATTGCACAGTCTGATAGTTCCACATTTGGAAAGGACGTGGAGCAACAGGGACTGTCTTACTCTGCGAGAGGGGGTAAATTGACACAACCTCTTTAGAGAACAAGCTGGAGGTTCACACATCCACCGAACCAGAAGCCGGACTCCCAGGCACTCCACTCGGACACCTGTCTAAGGACGCAGGAACAGAGTGCTCACAGCAGAGCACACGCATAGCAAACACGATGGAAACAATCTGGATACCTACCAGCAATAAACACACAAACAAATAATAAGGTAAACAAGTATGGTAGAGCCATACATAGGAATGCTACGCAGTGGCTGGGCGCTGGTGGCTCATGCCTGTAATCCTAGCTACTCAGGGTGGTTTGAAGCCAGCCCTGGGAAAGTAGTTGACAAGACCCTATCTCGAAAAACCCAACGCAAAAATGATCTGGTGGAGTGGCTCAAGCAGTAGAGCACCTACCTAGCAAGTGTGAGCCCCAAGTTCAAATCCCGGTACCACAAAAAAAAAAAAAGACCTCAATGGGGGAAGCAGGCCTTAGAAGAAAGGGGATGAGATTAGCCAGGGGTATGGGGAGGCTTCTGCTGAGCTGGGTATCTTAAGCAGAGTGATAGATTGTGTTTGTTATACCTCTGCATAGTACTTAGGTAGTTGATAATATATTAAAAAATAATTAAATAGAATGGGTTCTGGCTCTGAAAAGAGAAACAGAGAAAGCTCAGGGCATCTGTGGCAGAAGCAAGATAGACTCAAGGAAGACTTCTTAAATTAAGTGACATTTGTTATAAGACTGGAGGGAGGAGGAATTGAGCAGAGGGAGGAGGGGAGAGGACATTCCTTCCAGGAAGAGGGCAAGTCCAGGGTAAGAGAAAGTTTGGCAGCAGAGTTGAGAGAAATTCCTTCCATAGGGCCAGTAGAAAGTGTGGGCCAGGAATTTGTACCCTATGCTACGAGTGACAGTGAGTTTGTTCTGGAGAGGTGTTCAGCCACAGTGTGGAGCAGGATTGGAGGATGCAGGAGGAGTCTGGAGGCTGGTTCATGGAAGGTGTGATGGGGAGCAAGGAAGGGCCCGTAGGCAGGATGGATAGAGTGAGATAGATTCAGGAAACAAAACAGACCTGAGCAGACTTACACTGTCTCTGCGGTTCTCTGACCTTCCTCTTCCTCTTCCTCATTTACATGTAGTATCTTAGAGTGGACATTTCTGGAAAAAGAAAAACACAAGTGGGCTAGACGCCATGAACTTCTGAGATCTAAAGAATATCTGTGTCAACTGACTTTGACAGCTTTGGACTTAGGCAGACGTGGGTTCAAATCCAGCCCTGCCACTTGACAGCTTGGTGATGTTGGGCTAGGTACTCCCTAAGCCTCAGTTTCATCATCTATTAAATGGGAAAAACAGTTCTTTCTCTTACTGATGAGCAGAAACCAGGAACTGTAAAACATGTAGTTTGATACCTCGGCGATAATAAGCAACCCCCTAAGCCCCCCCACCAATCTACCTGCCGTCTATCTTGGGGCCAGTTCTACAGAAGGTGGAGGCACACCTGACTGTCTTCCTTTTGTTTTGATCTGTCCAGGGTCTGTCTCAGAGCTCCTTCCCTCACTCTGCCCTGAGCAGTTCAAGTCCAAGTTTCTGCTTATGAATCACTAGTCTGAATTCCCTCCCCAGAGACCAGGCAGAACATGAGACCTACGCATGGCACCAAGCCTGGTGGGCTTTGGTCCTGCCAGTGAACTTGGTTCCTATTCCCTCTCAGGTCCAAGTGGGTTCCCCGGGGCGACTACATTGCTTCCAACACGGATGAATGCACAGCCACACTGATGTACGCTGTCAACCTGAAGCAGTCTGGCACGGTTAATTTTGAATACTATTACCCAGATTCCAGCATCATCTTCGAGTTTTTCGTAAGCCCTGGCCAAGGGGAGGGAGGGAGGGAGGGCGGTCAAGTTTCTCTGAGAGTCAGATTAGTTTACAGAAATCACTGCCAAGTGTAGTCTTGCTTGGGCTATCACAGTTGTTTTTCCCCTAAGGAGAACTGTGGGCAAAATGAGGGTGAGGAGAAAAAGTGAAAGTCAAAGGACTCTGGGGAGATGAACAGTGTCTGTGAAGCTTCTAGGTTTTTCACCCTGCTCAGACATGGCAATAGCATTTAAATGGCTACACTGCTGATGATTTTTTTGGTGTTCATGCTCAGATGTCTTGGGTGTGCAGCTAGCTCCCACCCTACCTCAAGGCTCATGTGTTCTGAACTCAGTCCTAAACGAAGTTAGTAGCTCTTCTCCTATCAGAAGGATGGGTGTGGGGTGAGGCTCTCATTTCCTCATCCCTAACGCCTGCTGCTTCAGGTTCAGAACGATCAGTGCCAGCCCAATGTGGATGACTCCAGGTGGATGAAAACCACAGAGAAAGGATGGGAGTTCCATAGCGTGAGTATCACCCCAGACTTCCTCAGGGTGGGCCTCCTTCCAGCCTGAGCTTTCACTCCTCTGCCCCTGGAGGGCAGTCCAAGATTCTCCTCTCCTCTTGACAGATGGCTGTTGCTCCCATGGTTTCATCTCAAGGACCAGCAGCTTTCCAGTTCTGAGGCCAGAGAATGAGGTTCTGGAAAACCAGAGAATGAGGGAATGCTAGTCACTCTATTGCCAGTCCCTTCCAGTTTCTCTATTTTCTCACCGTATGGGATGCTGGTGGTATATGTGATGCAAGGAATGGTGGGAGAGGTTTGTAAGGGGAGGCTTAGAAAGACAGAGGAGCTGGGCCAGGAGTGGTGGCACCCATCTGTAATTCCAGCTACTCAGAAGGCATAGATAGGAGGATTTTGGTCCAAGGTTGGCCCTGGGGCAAAAAGTGTGAGACTCTGTCTGAGAAATAAATAAAGCCAAAAAAGGGTTTGTGGGTGTGGCTCAAGTGGTAGAGCACCTGCCTAGCAAGTGCAAGGCCCTGAGTTCAAAGTCCATTACTGCCAAAAAATAAAGAAAAAAGAAAAATAGAGGAGCTAAGCTACCTGAGAAGGACAAAGCTCAGAAAGAGAACAGAGAGGGCTGGCGCCAGTGGCTCACACCTGTAATCCTAGCTACTCAGGAGGCAGCGATCAGGAGGATCATGGTTCGAAGCCAGCCCAGGCAAACAGTTCTGCGAGACCCTATCTCAAAAAACCCTTCACAAAAATAGGGCCGGTGGAGTGGGTCAAGGTAAATGCCCTGAGTTCAAGCTTCAGTACCTAAAAAAAAAGAAAGGAGTGGGTCAGAGCAGGTGGGCCTATTTCGTAACAGGCTAGACTGGCAGGAGAGCAGTGCCTATCTGAGACGAACTAATGCCTTTTTGTTGCTTTTAGGTTGAGCTAAATCGAGGCAATAATGTGCTCTTTTGGAGAACCACAGCCTTCTCGGTGTGGTCCAAAGTTTCCAAGCCGGTGCTAGTGAGAAACATCGCCATAACAGGTGCCAGGAGCGGGGGTGGGCTGGGAGGGGTTGGAGCTGAGCTCTGTTGCTGACTTTCTGGTCGCTGGACTTGGTGGGGCGTCAGGGGAGAGGATGCGGAGGGAGTCAGGCCCGAGCCTTACTTTTCCATGCGGTTCTTCCTCCCTAGGGGTGGCCTACACTTCAGAATGCTTCCCCTGCAAGCCTGGCACCTACGCAGCCAAGCAGGGCTCCTCTTTCTGCAAACTGTGCCCAGCCAACTCCTATTCAAGCAAAGGAGAAACTTCTTGCCACCCATGTGACCCTGACAAATACTCAGGTGATGTTTCCGAGGGCAGGAAAAGTTGGGGGTGGGATGGGGCGCCAGGAAACATGCAGGAGAATCCAGGATGTAGAATCTTCCTTCTGGCCAAGCTGAGGGTGTTAATTCTTTTTGTTGTTGCTGTTGTTGTTTTGTTTTTTGTCGTTGGTTTTTTTGGAGGTGCTGGGGTTTCAACTCAGGGTATCGCACTTACCAGGCTGGTGCTCTACTGCTTAAGCCATGCCGCCAGCCCTTTTTGCTCTGGTTAATTTGGAGATAGGGTGTTGCTTTTTGCCTGGGCCAGCCCTGGACTGCCCTGTTTTATGCTTCTTTCAGTAGCTGGGACCAGTGTGTGCCACCACGCCCAGCTTTTTCCATTGAGATGGGATCTCATGAACTTTTTGCTCAGATCCTCCCAATCTCTGCTTCCTGAGTAGCTAGGATTACAGGCATGAGCTTCCAGTACCTGGCTTGAGAATGTTAATTCTCAAACCTTTCTTTTCCGGATGTTAGAAGATCCTTGCCAATCCATATCTCTACCAGTTGCTTCAGAAATAAAAACGAAGTAATTCCAAAAATATTTATTGGGCCTCTCCAGTCTCCCAAGTCCTTGGAGCACATCAGTGAACAAAACAGACAAAGGTCCCTATCTTCATGGAGTTTGCATTGTAGTGGAGGGAGAGCAGAGACCACAACCAATAATTATAAGGAAAAAAATGATTCATCTGGACACACCTATAATTCCAGCACTCGGGAGGCCAAGGCAGAAAGATTAAGATTTGAGGCCAGCCTGGGCTACATAGTGAGACCCTGTATCAACCCTATCACCTGCTTCAGCCTTCTGAGTAGCTGGGACTACAGGCATGTACCACCCTGCCAGACTCCAATGCAGACATTTTGAAGAAAATCCAGGGTTTCTTGGAACACGGTTTAAAAACCACTGCTCTAAGAGAAAGTGAAGGGACATCTGGAAGCAGTTATTTTTACAGCTTCCTAAAGCATCCCAATTTGAGAAACAAGACCTGGTCATTTGAGGAGATGTCAGGGTACATTGAGGCCCCAGTGTAAGATGGGCAGTGTCACCAGAGGACCCTCTTCTCAGGCGGCCCAGTGATTGGCATGAGGTCTGATCTCCAAGACAGGCTCTGAAACAAGTAAGGGAGAGAGGAAGAGCCCCACCTTTTGCTCTCCGAAATACTCATCACTTACATTTTTCCTTTTTTACACAGAACCATATACACAGTCAACATAAGGCCCTCTGTCAAGCAGCTCCCACATCCTCCCGCCTCCACACACACCTCACACAGGTGCTGTAGGGGCGTCTGCTCAGCCAGAACCTTGTGAACTGATTATTTCTACCCTACTCCTAAAACAAAAGTCCTATTTATCTGCACAAATCTTGCCAAATGAGTGTAGTTTTCAGCCAAAACAGGAAAGTTTAGCTCTTGGAGGAAGTTTTTCTTAAATCTGTAAGTCTAAATTCCTGTTTTTCCACTTGGATTTCTCATTCTTTTCCCTGCTCTGCCTCAATCAATGGTAGTCTTTGTTAGTCTGTCTCTGGCTCCGTTTCCAGCTTAGCAATTGTGCAAGAATTTGAATGGCAAAGTGGTTCTAGAAAAACAGCCTAGTGAGTGTTTTGATTGACTCTGTGTAAATTGATTTTTATCTAGAGAGCTGCCATGAAAGTGTTAGGTTAGGGGTTTAAATTCTTGGAGTCTGTTCTCTGCCACCAATTTCCAGTTTCTTAGTCTGACCCTTTGAGAGGTGACTTTTTGCTGTGAAGTACATAGTCTTCTTGTTGACCACTTCTCCAGCTTGGGTTACAAAGAGAGTCAAAGTTCTTTGAGACTTGACTTTTCAACAGGGGTCAGTGGGAAACTGGGAAAAACGCAGAGTCGGATAAGAGCCTGGAATGAAATATGTATGAGGGAGTGACAGAAGACCCATCCACAGGCATGTGCATCCCGGGTGCCCTCTGGGGCTGGGCTTGTTGCTGCCGTCAGAACTAGTCCTGCCCACTGGTTTCTGCTAAAAAGGAGAACTATGGTTGTATGAACACTGAAGTGTGGTAACTCTCTGCTGTCAGAAACATAGATGGGCAGGCTTGTGTCTTTCCACAATGTCAGAATTTACTGGATAACAATAATGCCACAAGCTACATCAATTTTGTTGGCTTTAGTTTGCCAAGTACTACTGGGTTTACTTGATAGCCAGGACCATTGACAATATAGTAGATTGCTTTTATCCCAATCTTAATTATTAATACTGACTTTCAGATCGCATATTACACTTCACACAATAATACATGTCTATAGTTACAGAGTGGCTATGAAAGGGTTAAAGAGACTGCAGGATCAGAAGAGGCCATACTAAAGGCACAGGCAGAGAACTGATACAGATGCAAGGAAAAGTCTTTGTAGGGGACCAGATAAGAAGTTTATGACCTGCGGGTCAGATGTGGAGCTGTTCAGGGTACAGAGTTGTCAAATGCAGGTCCAGGTACAGGCAGTCTTTTTTTTTTTTTTTTTTCTTGGCAGTATGGGGTTTGAACTCAGGGCCTTACATATGCTAAGCAGGAGCTCTAACTGTTTGAGCCACTCTGCCAGCCCTTTTTTGTGATGGGCTTTTTCGAGATAGTGTCTTGAGAACTATTTGCCTGGGCTGGCTTTGAACTGCAGTCCTCCTGATCTCTGCCTCCTAAAGTAGTTAGGATTACAGGTGTGAGCTACCAGTTCCCGGCATGGCAGGCAGCTCTGAGTATCAGTTGAAAGTGGGCTGTGTGTCACTGGCAGGAGAACTGTGCTCTATCTGGCGTCTGGATGAAGGCAGAGGTCCTTGGTTGTGGCAATTTTCCTGGAGAGGCTTGTGACAAGTGACTAGATAATGTGTCAGTGTGCCTGCCATGTCGCAGTCTTGGGTGTTCCTTCTTTTATAGTCCCAGGTAAAGAAGTTACATCTGGTGTGATTGATAAGTTTATATGTCTGGTGTTTCTGATATGATTTGATATATTCACAGATGTAATTCTTTATGGCACAAATTATTTACCAGCTGTGACTCATGGTGTGCTGGCAGATGGTGCTTGTTTACTTGTGTAAACAAAATACAAAGCCATTCTGTCTCGGCACTTATACTCAAAATGGGCAACTTAGGTCAAAAGTTGCTTTGTAAAATGGAGTAAGCTAAGTCAGGCATAGCCTGAAAGCTGCTGTCCTATATAACAAAGGGTGACCCAGAGCAGGCCCAGCCTTTCTCCTCACCTTCCATGGTGCCATATTAGATAGGAGTGCTGGGTGTAGCTTGCAGCAGAGGCAGGAAATGGAAGTGGTCAGTCCTCTCTGGGAAGGGAAGGGCGGCTTCTCCAGCTGAGGGCTTGGAAGGTGAATTGGTGGCTTAACGGGATAGGAGCAGGGTAAACCACAGCATGAAGGCTTGGGGATTAACTCAGCATGACTGGAGATTAACTGGCAAGAAGCCATGTTCAAGGGTAAGAGGCAGGCAGGGAACAGGTGATACATAGAGCAGCCCTCCTGTGCTATTGCCAGAAAAAGCAGGATTTGCTAGAATGTAGAAGAATAGTGATTACTAAGCTGCTGGAAAGAGTGCGGGGATGATGGAGACACAGAGAGGTTGGATAAGGTGTCCAAGCACAATTAGACAGGAGGAAGGAGTTCTAGCATTCCCCAGCACAGCAGGGTTCACAATTTATGAAAAACAAGTTTGGAACTCAAAGGTTCCAAAGATAAAAAATAAGGAGGTAGATATTCTAATTATCCTGATTCAATTAGTACATGCCTTCTACGTGAAGTACTGCATCTAACCCATAATATGTATAATGAGTACATTAATCAAAATTCTTTACAATTGGAATTTGATTTTAGGATTAGTGGAGGCCATTAAAGAATTTTAAGCTGGGGCTGGGCAGGGTGGTACACATCTGTATCCCAGCACTAGGAAGGCTGAGGTGGGAAGATTGTGAGTTCAAGACCAGCCTGGGCTACACAGTAAGCCTCTGCCTCAAAAAAACAACAAAAAACAACAAAAAAACAACAGCCAAAACAAGAATTTTAAACTGGGAGTGACCCACTCTGGCCTCTGCTTTTGAAAGGCTACTCTGGCTGCTGAGTGAAGGAAATAAAGAGGCTGAAGACAGTCTGAGGACTGGAGAACTCACAGGAGTGATGCTGCAGACTCTTTTTCACTAATGCCTAAGATTTGATTTTAGGATTAAGTCCCTCATGCAGTGTTACGTATTAGTGATCCATTTCCTAATAGAGAACACAGAGTTTGAGAGCGTGGACTCCAGAGCTGAGTCACCTCAAATCCCTGCCCCACGGCTCACTGGCTGTGACACCTTGGCCACCTTACTTAAGTCTGTGCCCCAGTTTCTACACACAATCTCAGTCGAAAAGCTGAGAAGTGATAGCGCCTTAGTTTCAGTAATCACTCTCTATCTTAGTGTTCTTGTGAGGATTTAGAAAGGGGCCTAGTATGTAGTGATCACTAATTTTATCAATTCATCTCCGTTAGCTGCTGTCTGGATATGTTCTTTTAATATGAAAACACTCTTGGTGGAGCTTACAAGAAGTCACTTGTATAGAGCTTTGCAGTCCACATAGCATTGTCTTATTCTTGCTCAGAGCATGGTGTGGGAGAGATGTCTCCATTTGCAACTGAATTAGGAGAAGCTCAGAGAGGTCACCGGCTGTGCTGAGTCTGAGTTGGCTACCTGGGCTGGGACTTGGGCTCACTGGGTCCTTGCATCCTCAATGGGTCTGAGTGAGAGCACTGATCTCCTAGAAGTACGGAGAAGATATTGACAGAAGGAGGAAGGTACAGAGAGAGGAGTTGGGGTGCCCCAGATCAACTTTTTCCTCTTAAGTTTTGCCCAGGGAAAATTCTACTCAAATTGCTTTTCACTCCCTCAACCAACCAAACACCTCTGCTGCTCTTTCAAACTTCACCAATTCCCCCTTCAAGCCCTTGGATAAACCTGAGCTAGCAAAGCTAGCTCTGTTTCTGCATTTGGGTTAATCATTTACTAAACCATTTCACAGCAGTCAGTGTGTAAACAGCTGGACTGTTTTGCTAAAACCTGGTGCTAGGGTGTCCTGAGGAGCAAATATTTGACAAGTAGAGAAAGGCCTTTGTGCAGAATGCATTTTCTAACACATGGCATGCGTGCGCTTTGCTGGACCCAATACACAAGGCCCGGGAACTGGGGTGACTTCAGCATCGCCCTGCAAATCTCTTCTGGCCAATCAGTCAGCAGCTGGGGTCCCTGGCACTCTCTCTGCTTGTTAATCAAGTAAGTGAGCTGAGAAGACCCCAGCTGTTATTCAAGCAGCAGTTCCCTCTTGGCCAGCCTAATAAGACAGCAACAGAGAGATGGGGATACATGGGCGTACATGTAGGCCATCGGGGCTGGAATTAGGGCATTCTCCGATCTGGGAAGTCATTTGGTGAAAGGGAAGAGGCCCATCACCTGGAAGGGAGGGAAAGAGACTTTTAGTCCTTATTTAAAATCTCCCAAATAAAAGTAATTTGCAAGTATGTCGTAATAATTCTCGCTGTCAATTTAGTGAGTATCTATTTATAATACACCAGGCATATGCTCGCTCTACCGAGATAGACATTATTATTCCTGGTGTACAGACTCAAGGGCTAAGGCTCAGAGAGGTTTAGCAACTTGCTTAAAGTGACACAGCTAATAAATGATGAAGAAGGACCCAAACCTAGATCTGTCTATCTTGAAATCTCATTCCATGATACCATACTGCCTGTCAGATAATATATAGACGGGGAGAATGTGTCGCCATTATTACATGCTTGTCTGTGGGGACACAGACATACACATATTAGAAGTAGTTGCAGCAGTCAGAATATAATAATACACACCCTAGAGAGCAGTATATTTTTCTTATTCTGCAGAAAGCAAATTCCATGGAAAATTTTTTCTTTGCATAAATTATGCATATTCTTCTAGGTAGAAGAAACAGCTCTTTTTTTTTTTTTTTTTCAAATTTTCAAAAAGGGCTTCTAAACTGGGTGCAGTGGCTCACATCCGTATTCCTAGCACCTCAGAGCTTGAGGCAGGAGGATTGAGAGTTCAAGGACAGCCTGGACTATATAGCAAGACCTTACCTTAAAAAAAAAACAAAGCAAAACAAAAAAAAGAGAGGTAGAATCTGTTGCTTTAAAGAGGGATTCATTGACATAGTTGGTGTCCAGGGATTTGTAGGGTTGAAGCAGAACTAATATACAGAGTAGGAGAAAGCTGATAGCTAGCATTTCTTAGCAGGTACAGGGCTAGGGCTGGTTAAAGACAGTGCTGGGATACTTGCGTTGAGGACAGTAGGTGGAGTCCAAGAAAATTGCAACCTTATTTGTGTGGATGGTTGCATGGAGAAGGGGAAATTTCAGATATGGAAGGCCTTCCTCATTCTGGGCATTTGTTAAAGGACCATTTGGAGAAAGGCAAGCATCCAGGCATGGTTGGACACTTCTGTAATCCGAGCACTTGGGAAGTAGAGGCCTGAAGATCACGAGTTCAAGGCCAGCCTGGGCTACATAGTGATACCTTGTCTCAAAACAAAACAAAATGTGATAGTAATGTCCTAAGCTTTAGTATGTCTTACTGCAACTTTTCATGAGTAGAAAACCCAGATGCTAATGTGTCAGAAAGATGGTGGGTTTGGGAGCCCTGGGATTGGTGGTGATTAACCTTCCAGATGCTAGCTCTGTTTCCAGCTCTACCTCCTTGCTGGTCTATAGACCAGCCACCTCGTACCCTAGTGCAGGGCCAAAGGCTCGTCCCTAACACCTGAGAGAGGTGCAAAAGGATGCCTGAACAGTGCTTAAAGAATTGGACATGACATCACGGAAGTGAAAGGAAGGGTGGGCATGCAGGATTTTCTACTTTCTGCCATCTCTGTGTGAAGGTGTACCCCAGGGGCTTGGGAGTTACAGTGATCAAGAGTCCTCCGTTCTTATACACCTTCAAATATTGTTTCTTGCTTTGGTGATTTAGAAAAAGGATCTTCCACCTGCAAAGTGCGCCCACCCTGCACAGACAAGGATTATTTCTCCACGCACACAGCCTGCGATGCCAACGGAGAGGTGGGTGGCATGCCCTTGAGGCCCCTCTGTCCCAGGTAGACTGTCTCCTCCTCCCTGGGCTTTCCAGACCTGTGTGGTGACCCCAGGGCTAGTCAGAGGGCAAGATGAGACAGGCCAGAAGCTGTATTTACCTCATTTTTTTCACTGAGAATTCACATATGCCCTATTTCAAAATCCACTTCAATTTCTTTTGCTTGGTGCCTTCCCTTTGCTTCGTCCGACAACCTGGGTGTTGCCTGCCTGTCCATGTACACTCATCTCTGCACAAAGCTCTTCAGCCTCTCTACGAAGGGCTACTTCTGCCTGTGACAAGGGAAATTGGTTCCTATTCCCTGGCTCTCTGGAGAATGGCCCAACTGGCTCAGTTTCCCAACACACACTTCGGAAAAGGACTTGCCTTCTGTGGTGGTCTAGTTGTCCTTGAGTCAGCAAGCACTTGTGTGCTAACTGATGAGCCAGGCTGGGGTGACAGAGTTGACTGAGACCAGCTCCTGCTGCCATGGCACTCACAGTTCTGCAAGGGAGGCGGAAGAAGAGAAAGAGGGGCCTGAGAAGGCAATCGGGAGATGTGAAAAGCACTGGGGGAGAGGGCTGAAGGAGGGGCCACCAGGCCTGAGGGATGAGAGAAGGTCTCTTGGAGGAGGGTGTTTGCTCAACAGTCAGCAAGTATTTATTGAGCAGTTATTACGTGCTAGGGAACATCAGCGAACAGAACCAAGGAAACAACTCGCTCTTCCAGAGCTGGATTCTTACTGGGGGAGGAGACAGCAGAATAAGCACGGATGGGTATATTCTGTATCAAATGGAAACACATGGTAGGAAGACACAACTATGGCATTATTAGGAGATAGAGAATGACAGAGTTCCTATCTGATCAGGGTAGGGGTGGCCTCTGAGGAGGTGACTTTGAGCAGAGCTGAATGAGAGGAGGGAGGCTTCATGGAGCTTTCTAGGCAGAGAGCACCATTGGTGCAGAGGTGTGGGCCTGGTGAGTCTGAGGACCTGGCTCACTGGAGAAGTAAAGTGGAATGGGCTGGAAGGTGCATGTGGTGGGATCTGCCTTGAACTAGACATTCCAGATAAAGTATCTCTATCCCTAAGCGAGAGTCTCTCAAGGAGGTAGAATTAGTATCCGGGAATTCTGCAGTCAGTGTCTGAGCACAGTGCTTGTCTACTAGGCTGGGCAGCTGGTTGAATTCTCCCTTTGCTAATTAAGCACAAGATAGTCTGAGTCTTAGTGATTTTTTCTTCCTACTCATCTCTCACCACCAGCCTCCTCCACCATGTTTGGAGCAACACGCCATTCCCCAGCAGCCAAGAAAAATGTCTGTCTTTATCAGTCAAATCTTAGACTCAGTTCTGCAGTGTCTGGTATCCTGTATGACCTTATAAAACTTCTTTTCCTTTCTGTAGAACTGGGGTTTGAACTCAGGGCCTTCAGCTCGATAAGCAGGAGCTCCACTACTTGAGCCACTCCACCAGCCCTTTTTTGTGTTGGGTATTTTCAAGAAAGGGTCTTGTGAACTATTTTCCTGGGCTGACTTTGAACCACAATCCTCCTGATCTCTGCCTCCTGACTAGCTAGGATTACAAGTGTGAGCCACCCGCCCCAAGCATAAAAATTATTTTCATTTTCTTGATCTTTGTGGACTCATGAATAAAATGGGGGCAGTTATTGCTGTTCCTCTTCTCCCTACCAGGCATAACACGTAGTGAATGTGGCTGTCCTTCCTTCTGCCCCATTCTCTGCTCTCCTGGGTTCAGGCCAAGGTCCTGCAGATCTGTTGTGTGCTGGGCTGCCTGGAGCCTAGATGTCTGCGCTCGCCTGACCACCTGGGGCCCGGAGAGGCTGGTCAGGTCAAAGTCTGTGCTCCCATCACGCAGCACAGCTCAAGCTTGGCTCAGAGGGGTTCGCTGTGGCCTGTGCTTTAAGGAGCACGTGTGAGTGTGCAGGGTCCTGACAGAGGGCTCCTTTGTGCCTCACACCCACGCTGGTTCTGCACTGTGTTTGAAAATCCAGGCCACATCCTGGGTTGGTGGCTATGATTGCGTATGTGACCTTTGCTGTGCCTTGGCTTTTCAGGGACTAGGATGGCAATCCTTTGGGGCCACTAAATGTGCTATTTTGCTCCAAGAGCTGGCCCAAGTGAATTGTCCTGCCTGAATCCTCTTCTCCCTGAAACTCCCAGGAGACAGGCAGGGAAGGTTAAGGTTAAGCCATAAGCCTGGGGGCTAGGAGTGGTGTCACTCAACTGTGATCCCAGCACTCAAGAGGGAGGCAGGAGGACTCTGAGCTCAAGGCTAGTGCAGGCTACATAAGGAGACCCTGTCTCAAACAAACCAACAAACCCCGCCCCCTCCTGGCAAGCTTGGGGCTCTAATCATTGGCTGCCCTTCTTAAGGAGGAGGGCTGATGGCTGAGTTGAGCATGGGGAACAGGAGCCCAATGAAGGCAGCAAAGGCTCCTCCTTGTGATCTTGTCATTCCTCCCATTCCTTGGCAGTACTGGGATTTGAATTCAGGGCTCTGCATTTGCTAGGCAAGTGATCTACCACTTGAGTCACTCCCCTGGCCCTTTTTGGGTTTTAGTTTATTTTTCAGGTAGGGTCCCCCAGTGCTTCTGCCTGGGGTTGGCCTCAGACTGGATCCTCCTACCTCTGCGCCCAGGTATCTGGGATTATAGGCATGTAACACCATGCCTGGTGACCTTGATACTTCTTATCCTGAAAAAAAGGGACAGAAGGCTTGTTCACTTGTCTTTTCACATGGCTGCTTGCAGCCCAGATGAATCTCTCATTCCCTCAGTACCATCCATCAGGGTATCTTTTTGTCTCTTACTTGATCTGAAGGTCACGTCGGGGAGAATAGAGCTATCCACCTCTCCCTCCCCAACTCACCAGGGGGCTCCTGCAAGTCTTCCCTTCTTCTGCACCCGATGCTTCCATCAAAAGACAAGGGATTACCCTAGTGGGTGGCAAACATGGCTTCTTTGTCCACTGACCTGATGAATGACTGTTCTCTTGCTTTGAAGATCACATCAGCATAATGACCATTCTCCCAACTGGACTGTTATTATGTGCTCACTGCCCTTGGTGGGAACAGAAACCCTGCCTCATTTATCATGCAGACATCAGGGCTGGCACATAGCCTATTAGGCTATCTCTCAATGTTTGCTGAATAAATGAAAGATCAAGGGGCTGGCAGAATGACTCAAGTGGTAGAGTACCTGCCTAGCAAGCACAAGACCCTGAGTTCAAACCCAAGTGCCACCAAAAAAAAAAAAAAAAAAAAAAGTTATTTAATAAAAAAAGAGAATGCACCACTTGAGGAGTCTGCTCCTCACTTCGAGTGTGGGGACCAGGAAATGTTTCTCTTTCTTTTGCTCTGTATTTTACCCTGTTATACTAAATCCTTATCTATATTTTATCCTGTTACACTAAAACAAATCCTTGCTAAAACTTTCAAAAAAAAAAGAATGCACCACTTGGAAAGCAAGTTAGGTCATCTCAGCCATCCCCTCTGTCCCCAGTGTGTCAGCCTCTCCACCCTGTGACCAAAATTAAGTTCCCAAGGACTGGGGAATGTAGCTTAGGGATAAAGTGCTTGCAAGACCCTGGGTGTGATCCCTAGCACTGGAAAAAAGGAAAGAAAAGTCCTCACCCTGGCCCAGAATCCTGTCCCTCCCCTCCACACCCTCAAGTTTGAGCCCTAGACATTTCTTAATCCCAACACCCTAAGCCATGCTCGATCCCTCTTTGCAGACACAGATCATGTACAAATGGGCCATGCCGAAAATCTGTGGTGAGGACCTGGAGGGGTCAGTGCAGCTGCCGGCCTCCAGCATGAAGACCCGCTGCCCGCCCTGCAACCCAGGCTTTTTCAAAACCAACAACAGCACCTGCGAGCCCTGCCCCTACGGCTGGTACTCCAACGGCTCTGGTAATGGCACTTTATCCATCCTGACGGTGGCCGTGTGGGTGGGCCACACGGACACTCAGAGTAGCCAGCTGAAGGCACCGGGCCCGTCCAAGGCAGGGAGTAAGGAGCAGAACACCTCTATACCCCTGAGGACCAGGCTCAGAAGAGAGGTGAAGGCTGGCCTTGTCTGTGGATCAGAGTCAGGCTTAACCATTGTACCTGTGAATGTGGTTCAGGACCAAAGGGACCCAGTCCTCATAACAGAAGCTGCCTGTGTGTGGCAAAGATGCTAACTAGAAGGTTTGGGTGGGGGGGGCGGTGGGTGCAGCGCTGAGATGACCAGCCCAACACAATCAGAACCTGTAAGCCATTTTGCAAAAAAGAAGTCACAGATTTGTGTGCCTATTAATGTGGATGCATGTAATGATAGCGTGACAGATATATTTAAGTTTTGAAATGAAATTTGGGGTGGGTAAGTGCTGGAATGAAGGGCCAGTATTTACGTTCTTCTCATGTTTTTGAGTTCATTTGACATATCTTTGTACAACAGCGCTCATCCACCCCCTGTCTGGCTGTCACTTGTCTGTGCAGCAGCAGCTCCAGGCAGGGTGGTGCAGCCTTCCTGCCAAGTAACAGATCTTGTGGTTCCCACAGATTGTACCCACTGTCCAGCTGGGACTGAACCTGCGGTGGGATTTGAATACAAATGGTGGAACACACTGCCCACAAACATGGAGACAACTGTTCTCAGTGGGATCAACTTTGAGTACAAGGGCCTGACAGGTGATGTCTCTCCCTTCACCATGAGCTGCCACCCTCTACAATGCCACAGCAGTTCTCCCAAGTTCACTTTTTTTTTGGTGGGACCTGGGTTTGAATTCAGGGCTTTTGCACTTGCAAAGCAGGTGCTCTACTGCTTGAGCCACATCTTCTGTCCTTTTTTGCTCTGGTTATTTTGGAGATAGGGGTCTCACAGAGTATTTGCCCAGGCTGGTCTCAAACCGTGACCCTCCAGATCTCAGCCCTCCAAGTAGCTGAGATGACAGACACAAGCCACTGGTGCCTGGCTCACACTTCTTTATAATAGTGATGTCTGAGAAAAATAAACTTATGTCATGCATTCCTTTGGAAGTTCTACACCTTGAGCACATATATCCTGCAAAAACTTAGTTTCAGAGACAGAAACAGAGCTAGAAAAAATATGACATACCACTGAGGCATGCTCTGCCAGTTTCAGGGGCTTTACCAAAGTAACAGTGTAAGTCCCATGGTTCTGGATGGTTCTCCCTTCCCTTAGTGTCACCTAGTGCACATGTGCCCTGCATCCAAGAGCACAAGGTGTTAACTGTCCCCTCTCCCTTTCCAGGCTGGGAGGTGGCTAGTGATCACATTTATACAGCTGTTGGAGCTTCGGACAATGACTTCATGATTCTCACTCTGGTTGTACCAGGATTCAGGTGAGGAAAACAAAGGGAAGCCCACACCAACTTGGCTGCATCCGAATTCCGTGTACTTGGGAATGTTGTAAAGGAAAAGATTTCTGGAGTTGAACTTCAGTTCAGTTTACATATCAGCCCTTCATGCCTGTAATCCTAGCTACTTGGGAGGCTGAGATCGGGAGAATTACAGTTTGAGACAAAAAGTTCATGAGCTCTCATCTCAACCAATAGCTGGGCGTGATGATGCAGAGCCATCATCCCAACGACAGCAAGAAGAACAAAACAGGAGAACTGCCGTATAGGCAAGCCTGAGTAAAAAGTGAGACCCTAGCTCCAAAATAACCAGAGCAAAAAGCATTGGAGGTGTGGCTCAAGGCATAGAAGAGCACCTGCTTAGCAAGTACAAAGTTCTGAGTTCACACCACAGTAATGCAAATAATAATAATAATAATAATAATAATAATAATAAATCTATGAGCAGGTATCAGTCCAGAAACCAAGGAAGCATGGTGATGGTTTGGCTAGGTTAACCAGGATGCTAACACATTTTCTTAGTTGTTGCTCATACTGATTTGCCTATTGCTCTCTTGTTCCCCCTAGCTTCTCCATTGACTGACCACAGGGTGCTCAAATTCTTCCTCCTCAAAGAATCAAAAAGGATTTAAAAAAACAAAAACTTTTAAAAATAGGGCCAGAAGTTTCCACATACAGTTCATCATTATTTGAGGCAAGAAGATTGAGAGAGATCGTTCTACTATATTTGTTCCTATAAACCAGGAGAACCTAGGACAAGCAATTTGTTTGCCATTAAAAAAACAAAAACAAAACCAAAAACTTCCAGGCAAGGCTAGAGGCATGGCTCAAGTGTTAGAGCAGTTGCCTAGCAAGTTCAAGGTGCTGAGTTCAAACCCCAGTACTGCAAAAACCAAACAAAACAAACTCCCAGGAAATGTGGTGTGGTGGAGGAAGCACTGGACTGGAAAGCTAGAATGATAATTATTATTCCTCAGCTATGCCACTTAGTGTCCTTCTCACTTGAACTTGGGAAAGTCACCTCACCCCTGCAGCTTTTAGGCCCCTCATCTGTAACACAAGGCTGTGATGCAGGACTAAGTTGCATTGTGAGGATTCTTCCTGCCTATTGGTTAGGACAACTGTGTAGATGGGAGCCAAGGCTCCTGAAAATCCAAGCAAATGGCTAAAACCCAAAGAAAAGCTGCAAATGGTTTTCCAAAACCAAAGTGAGTTCTTCTGCCCATGGGTGCTTCAAAGCCAAAGGAGAAACCCTGAAGGAACTCCTTTTTGGCAATTTGACTTCTCCATCCCTCCTTGGAAACCTCCACTTTCCTTGTCTTTTTTTTTTAAAAATGTTTTTGTTAATATATGATAGTTATGCAGGGGGGTTTGTTGTGACATTTCCATATATAAATATATTGTACCCTGTTTGGCTTACTCCCTCTGTTATTCTCCCTCTTCCAACCTCCTCTTCCTAAAATGACTTTATCAGGTTTCAGTGTTCCATACTGATACATGTGTAGAAAGTACTTCAACCATATTCACCCTCCTTTACCCTCTTCATTTACCCTCCCCCTCCCACAATTACCCTCCCTGCAACAGTTGTTGTTTTCCATCCTGAGGAGGGGGCTTAGCCAGTGGCAATTGCCCAAAAGGATTAGTTTCCCTTCCTGTAACCCACCTTACTCAGAGTGGACCATATAGATTGTGTGTTTGCAAAATGAACAAACTTTAGCAGGATGTGATGGTACACTCTTATAATCCTAGCACTCAGGGTGCTGGGCAGGAAGATTTTGAGACTGAGGCCAGACTGGGCTACATAATGAGACCCTATCTCAAAACAAAAGAGAGAGAGCAAGCTGGTGTTGTGGCTTAAGTAGTAACGGCCTGCCTAGCAAGTACAAGGCCCCGAGTTCAAACCCCTGTACCACCACAACCACCACCACCACCAACAACAACAACAAATTGAGCTAACTTTAGGCTTTGTGGAATAACATCTTGAAAGAGTAATTTTCACTTTGCATATCTGATTACCATATGTATCACTCGGCTTTCTGTTTGACAAAATATCTGAGATAATCAACTGAAAAGAGAAACCATTGTTTTGGCTCACAGTTTCAGAGGTTCCCGCCCATGGTTAATTGGCCCCTTTGCTTTGGGCCTGTGGCAAGGCAGCACATCATGGTGGAGAGCATGAGGTAGGGCAACCTGCTCACCTCAGTGGTGGCAGTGAAGTAAGAGAAATGGAAGGGGCTTGGGTCCCAGTATCCCCTTCTAGGGCACATCCTCAATGGCCTAACTTCTTTCCATTAGACACACCTCTTAAAGGTTCCACCACCTTCCAATATCACCATGGGCTGGGGACCAAGCCTTTAACACATGACCTTTGGAGACATTTATCCAAACCATGGCACCGTAGTAAAATGCTTTGTCACCCCAGGCCCTAGTCCTCTTGGACATGGCTCTTGCTTTCCAAAAGAAAGATCAGCCGGAGACCTTTGCTGAAGACACTATGAGTCCTTCTCATTAAAGCCAGGCAAAGCTGAGTTAAGTGTAAACAGTTCACACCTTATGATAGTGGTGCTTCTTCAACTTGACTGTGTACTAACCACCTGGGAATCTGTCCACACACAGGTTCTGATTCAGGGGGTCTTCCAGGCCTGAGGTTCCAAACTAACTCCCAGAACTGGTGATGCTGCTGGTCTGTAGACCACTTCTTCATTTCATAAAGGGTATCACATTTGTTAGGCCTTTGGATCTCACTACAACCAGAAGGGGTAGATAAGAAAGTTCTCATTGCCTCCATTTTACAGCAAAGGAAACTATGGTTTGGCTAGGTCAAGGTTACATAGTTGGGTGGCATAAGTGGACTTAGTGCACCCTCTTTCAAATGTACTCAGAAACTAATCCTGTCCCACAGCTGAGCTGTTGCTTCTGTCTTTGCTGTTCAATAAGCTCAACCTGGCCTCTGGAATTGACCTTTAACTTCTGCCCCCACAGACCTCCACAATCGGTGATGGCAGACACAGAGAATAAAGAGGTGGCCAGGATCACATTTGTCTTTGAGACCATCTGTTCGGTGAACTGTGAGCTTTACTTCATGGTGGTATGTTTTCCTTTCTTTGCTGGTGGTGGGTTGGGAGGGTTGACCCCCATCTGCTCCAGTGGGATACCCATTGAGGGCAATTCAAGTGGAAGAACCCAGAGTGACCACCAAGGACTTCACAGTTTTTAACATGGGTCTGACCACTGCACTGGCCCTGGGATGGCAGTGGTATGAGCTTCCTCTCCCTTGCAGCCATCATGTCTTCCTCCCTTGTCTGTTCTGGGTTCAGGGCATGAATTCTAGGACTAACACTCCCGTGGAGACGTGGAAAGGTTCCAAAGGCAAACAGTCCTATACCTACATCATTGAGGAGAACGCCACCATGAGCTTCACCTGGGCCTTCCAGAGGACCACTCTTCACGAGACAGTGAGTCCCACCCTTCCCATGCTGACCTCTGCAAAGACTGTCTGAGTTTGCATATGAGTCTGAGTTCGGAATACAAGGTTAGAAGGGTCTTCAGCAGTCAGGCAGAGGCTGCCTAGTGCAGGCCCCCAGGGGCCATCTAGTCTTGTCTAAAGGACTTCCAGGAAGAGGACACTAGTGCCTTCAGTCACCCCTCCATCCTTGCAGTACCTACTCGGGTAGGGCCAGACCTGTCCCTTTTTTTTTGCAGTACTGGGGCTTGAACTCAGGGCCTTCACCTTGAGCCACTCCACCAGCCCTGTTTTTGTGAAGGGTTTTTTAAGATAGGGTCTCGTAGAACTATTTGCCCTGGCTGGCTTCAAACCACAATCCTCTTGGTCTCTGCCTCTTGAGTAGCTAGGATTATAGGCATGAGCCACCGGCACACGACTTGTCCCTGTTTTTAAGAATAACTTTTAATTTTTTTTTAGTTCAACATAGTACAGGTTTATTGCAAAAAAAAACTCAGAAAAAGAAGAAATAAAATCAGCCATAATCCTACTACCCAGAGATAACCCAGTTAACATCTGGAGTATTTCCTATTTAGTCTCCTCTCTCCCTCTCTTTTCTCTCTCTCTCTCTCTCTCTCTCTCTCTCTCTCTCTGTCAGTCCAGGCTGGCCTCAAACTTATGATTCTCCTCCCTTAGCCTCCCAAGTACTGGGAAATAGGCTTGTACCACTACACCTGGCATAGCTGGTATTTTTCTACAAATACATTTTTTCTTCTAAGTAAAAGACCTGCTTTTTTCATATAACAGAATCTACTCTATATTTTTGCATGACGCTTAATATTTTTATACTTAACTTAGATGGGTCAGTCTTGTTTTAAAATGACACAAAATACACATGAAGAGCCACTGTTAAATGAGTGAGAAGAGAAGAATTTTAAGGTCTGGCTCAAGTATCGTAAGATAAAGCACATTGCTTTGCTGACTCAGGCCCCTCCCTCTCCCCTCTTGTTTCCTTGTCTCCAGGGCAGGAAGTACACCAATGATGTTGCTAAGATCTACTCCATCAATGTCACCAATGTCATGGATGGGGTTGCCTCCTACTGCCGTCCCTGTGCCCTTGAAGCTTCAGACGTGGGCTCCTCCTGCACCTCTTGTCCTGCTGGTTACTACATTGACCGAGATTCTGGAACCTGCCATTCATGCCCCCCTAATACAATCCTGAAAGCCCACCAGCCTTATGGTGTTCAAGCCTGTGTGCCCTGTGGTCCAGGGACCACAAGCAACAAGGTGCCAGCAGTCTGCCGTGCGTCTTAACCTTGACACTCTGGTTGGGATGGCCTCAGAGGGTCCTGGGTCCTGGATAGGGTTCTCTTGGGCACCCAAGAGTGCTCCTAGCATACTCCTGTCTGGAGTCTTGGAGGACACCCATCCAAGCTGTGACTGGGTGGTGAGTTCTTAGCAGTAGGGCAAGTCTCTACTGGACAAGTCTCTTGGTTGGTGGTAAGAGGAATGGTGACCATGTTGGCATCCATGCAGAGATCTGAAGAGAAGGAGATTGGGGTCTGTGGTTCAAATCCAGCCTAGTCCAATTCAGCCTATTTTTATGGGAATTTGGCCCCTTTCCTTTGAAAAAGTAACCCAACCTTTGCCAAGACATATGGTTAATTGTCATTGCTGTCTTCTATCTCAGTGACTTCTTAGCTTTACTGATATAAAAATTACTCTATAATGTGGTGAAAACAGTACTGTTGCTACCATGTAATTTTTGCTCCAAGAAAGCGCATATGACTAAAAGCTCACTAATGCTTTTAAATGAATTTGTATTTTACTGATCACAACCACACAGACATGCATCTATAAGACATTATTTAAAGCTGGGTGCTGGTGGCTCATGCCTGTAATCCTAGCTACTCAGGTGGCAGAGATTAGGAGAATCGTGGTTTGAAGCCAGCCCATGCAAATAGTTCGAGAGACCCTGCCTCGAAAATACACATCACAAAAAAGTGCTGGTGGGGTGGCTCAAGGTGTAGGCCCTGAGTTCAAACCCCAGTACCATAGGAAAAAAAAAGCCATTATTTATTCTACCCTGCAAAAGTTACTGGGTTTAGCTGTGAAGTAAGTGTAGTGATTATACAGACTCCCGGCAACCTCTTTTGCCATGATCTTCCCTGGAGCTCCCTCTGCTGCGGTGGGAGGGAATTGCAGGGTATAAGGCTGCCATAGAATAGGGACCTGAAAACAGAACAAGGAGCTGGGAGTAAAGTCCTTTCAGAGTTCAATGTCCTGCAGAGGACGGAAGGAAGATGAAGCAGGGTTCCATGTGTTCCATGTGTTGGGGGTGCTGTGCATCAGCAGGGCAATAATTGAAATGTCTTTCCTGTCACTCTGGACACTCTTATTTTAATTAGTACCTCATTATCTTCTGCTTGAAAGTAAGAAAGGCAGAGGCTAGAATGGGGCATGGTGGTACATACCTACAATCCCAGCATTCAGGAGGCTGAGGCAGGATTGAGAGTTTTAATCCATCTTGGGCTACAAAGCAAGACCTGGAGGAAAAAGAAGACAAGAAAAGAAGAAAGAAAAGCAGAGGCTAGGCTGTAGCTCAGTGGTACAGCACTTGCTTAGTATGTATGAAGACCTGGGTTTGAATCCCAGTACCACAAAAAATTTTTTAAAAAATCAGAGAGAGATTCTCCAAAGAATACAAAGAATTTTGTTTGGGCACAGCAGAACTTTGCAATAGCAGTGTGTGTGGCACAGTATACTATGGGCATTTTCAAAGAGTTTGAGCCAGGGACGTTCTTTAAAGACAAAAATGAGGATTGCATCGTATACTTTGAAACAGTAATCCTTGGTCACAATGATTAATAACAAGAGTGGCGCCAGTCCAAGGTTGACCAGACAGTTGCTGGGCAGATGTCAGTGTCAAAGGCTTTTGGAATATGGTGGTGGTGGCCTCTGCGAGCTGGTGATTCTGGCAATCGTGTACAAGCCTTTCCTCCTGGCATCTTATGTGTGCCAATAATTGAATGGCAAGATATACATAAATCCCACTACTGGCTGTTCGACTTCTTTTAATGTCTACTTCCAGTCCTTTCTTCTGCCTCTTTCTCCCACTTTGGGCAGGGCCAGGCTGGGGAAAAGTGTGCCATTGTCAGCTGCAGCTCGTCAAGGCCTTCTGTGGCCAGCTGGCCTGACCTGGTCCCTCTCCCACTCAGATCCACTCTCTCTGCTACAACAACTGCACCTTCTCACGTATCACGCCGTCCAGGACTTTCAACTATAACTTCTCAGCTTTGGCAAGCACTGTCTCTCTGGCTGGAGGACCAAGTTTCACTTCGAAAGGCCTTAAATATTTCCATCATTTTACCCTGAGTCTCTGTGGAAACCAGGTAAGATATGTAAGTTAACAGTGTGCAAACTGAAAAAGGGAAGCTGGTAGATCAGAGACCAGAGTAAAACACAGGAGAAAAGATAGAATACTTTCAGGCAGCAAGGGAATGAGGTTAGCCAGACTCAATTGCTCATGCCTATAATCCCAGCTATTCGGGAGATTGAGATCAGGAGGATCACAGTTTGACACCAGCCCTACTAAAAAGTTAGCAAGACTCCAGACTCAAATCAGTAAGCCAGGCAAGGTGGTACCTGCCATCTCAGCTGCTCTGGAGGTTTTAGGCAGAAGGATCAAGGTTTGAGGCTGGCCCCAGGCAAAAGTTGAGACCCTACCTGAAAAGTAACTAAAGCAAAACAAGAGCTGTGGGCATGGCTTAAGTGGTGGAGCACCTGCCTAGCAAGCTTGAGGCCCTGAGTTCAAACCCCAGTACTGCCAGCGGGAGGAGAATGAGGAGATTTCAAGGTTTATGAATGGTTATAATTCTCCCTGAGGACTTTTTCCCCTAAAATCAAATCATCTGGATGATAAGCATTTAGGCAAATAAAAATGTTTAAAATAAGGTGTTTATTTACTCTTACCTGACCTTTTTTACCCCCTCAGAATGAATACTGGTTGAGCATCTCCAAGGGTGCTCAAAAAGCTTCAGAGTTTGGAGTATTTCAGGTTTTAGATTTCCAGATTAAGGATTCTCAACTATGAAGTCTATGAAAATACTCCAAAACCTAAAAGCAGAAAAAATTCTGACCTCAAGCATTTCAGAGAAAGAGATATTCAACCTCTCTATGCAAGACTAAGTAGAGCCAGGTAGTGCACACCTGTAATCCCAGTTACTGGTGAGGCTGAGGCAGGATGATCACTAGAGCCCAAGAGTTTAAGGTCAGCCTGGACCACATAGAGAGACCCCCATCTCAAAAATGTAGTCCAGGTGTAGTAGTTTAAGCCTATAATCCTAGGTACTTGGGAGGCAGAGATCGGGAGGATCAAGGTCAGCGCAGGCAAAAAGTTCTCAGTACTCCATCTCAACTGATAAAAGCTGGGCATTATGGCACACACCCATCATCCCAGATACACGGGAAGCACAAACAGGAGGATCAAGGTCCAGGCCAGCCTGGACATAAGTCTAGACCCTAGCTCAAAATAATCAAAGCTAAAAAGGCTGGCCGAGTGGCTCAAGTGGTACAGTGCCTGTGTAGCAAGTGTGAGGTTGGAACTCAGTTCGAACCCCAGTACCACCAAAAAAGAATAGACAGGAGGAAGCATTTGTTTGTTTGTGTAGCCCTGCCTTTAAAAAGCAGACTTCAGAGCCAGCCTGGTGGCACATGCCTGGACACTCAGGAGGCTGAGGATCTCGGGTTCAAGGCCAGCCTGGCCTATATAACAAGAGTCTGTCTCAAAAAAGAAAAGAAAAGAGAAAATGGTCTTCAGTAGTCAGTGTATTTCTCACCTGTGTTCTAAACACTGGATAAAACAAACCTTCATGTGCCTTTGCTGACAGTACAAAAGAAAATAACATGAAAGGGTATGAGGAAGGAATGTCATCATCAACCATGTCATCCTGCGGGATCCAAAATCCAAAGACAGAAATGTCAACAGTGATCCAGACACTCCTGCACTTGACTAGTTCCCCATGAGCCGTGAATAGCAGGAAGTTCGGAAAACTCAGTCCCACGGTCACAAAGCAGGGAACGTGTAGGGCGTTGTGTCCCTGTGACCCTGTGTGGTGGGGAGGCCTTTGTATCCCCTGGCTGCTACCTTTCTGTGGCATGCAGAGGAGTTGGTCTGTGTCAACAGAGGACATGTCAAGGGATAAAGTGATCTATGACAGGTCAGAGATAGGTATCTATCTTGGCTTTAAAAGTCTTCGAAGAGGGTAAAGTGAAGCCTCAGAAATAACAGGTGGTGATAACTGAGGAAATGAGACTGGTTTTCAAAAGCAAGTCCCAGGCAGTGAACATGTCATGCAGAGACCTGGAGAGAGGTGGAGGTGGGGAATTGGGGAAGTCGTATCTTTTTTTCTCTTGGCTCTATTAGACTGAAAGGCGCAGAATAGATAGGCTCAAATGCTAGCACAGGATTTATTCGGGAAGAAACCTGTGGAGGGGGTCCCCAGCAAAAGAGCTGGAGCCCACCACAGCTTACAGACTGGGGGTTCACATTGGAGGTTGGTGGAGAAGTCCCAGGAAAGTCACTGGCAGGAAAATCCTCAATGTCCCTCTGACCTTCCCCAGATAACGTGGGTCATTCTTCCAGGCTAGGTGGGGAGTTTCTAGTAAATGGCTAAAGGTGGTTGTCTATTTTTCTTTAGGGTGAGGTGGAGAGTTTTCAGTGGTCACTTTCAAGGGAGAGGGGGTCCAGTTCTAACATGGCTTCCTTTTGTTCACCCTAACAGTTTCCTTTGCTCTTTTCAGAAATATTTTCTATATACAGCCCCATTATAGATTCTCAGTTTAAAGACAAAAATCTGTTTTATTATAATGTAAAGGGTTCTTTCTGTTCTCAGGTTCTTCCTCTACTTATAATCTAGAAAAAAGCTAACAGATGACATATTTAGTTCAATTTGTAATAGAATTTATTGAAAATATCACATTCTAATATCACTTAAATTTTAAAATGCCCAGGCACCAGAAGGAAGCTGAACTTTTAGATGTGGGAAAACCATTCCCTGTCCCCTCCTTTGGGAACTCCTCTGTAACCATTTGCTTCTTTCCACACCCCACCCACCAGGGTAAGAAAATGTCGTTGTGCACCAACAATGTCACTGACCTCCACATCTCTGAGGGCGAGTCAGGTTTTTCCAAATCCATTATGGCCTACGTCTGCCAGGTGGTCATCATCCCCTCAGAGGTGACTGGCTACAAGGCTGGGGTGTCCTCACAGCCTGTCAGCCTCGCTGATCGACTTGTTGGTGAGTAAGCCAGCTGCTCCATGCCTGTGTGTGGTGTGGTGTGTGTGTGTGTGTGTATGTGAGGGGGGGGGGAGAGAGGAGAAGAAGGAGGAGGAGGAGAGGAAAGGGAGGGAGAGAGGAAGAGAGAGAGAGAGAGCCAGGCTGGGAGGTACATGACCCCATTCTGACCTGTGTTTTCTTTTTTTGTGTTTGGTACTGGGAGTTCTAGTACCTCCAGCCCCCAGTATTCAGGGCCTTGTGCTTGTCAGGCAGGCACTCTACTACTTGAATCACACCCACTTGCTTTCATTAGTTTTCAAATAGGTCTTGAATTCATGATCTTATTTGTACTTCAGGCATAGATGGGATGACAGGTGCATTCCACCAAACCTGGCTTTTATTGATTAAGATGGGGTCTTGGGTACTTTTTGCCTGGGCTGGCCTTGAACCACAGTCTTCCCACTCTCCACATCCCAAGTATCTAGGATTACAGGTGTGCGCCACTAAATGTGGCCTGACCTCTGTTTTCTATTCCACCTGGTGTGTCAGGTGTCCCTGGGACCTCTGGTAAAGCTTTAGTTCACTTTTTCATGGGCCACTCTGGGATGGGATGAATTGAAGTAAGGTTGGGAGTGGATAGATCTTGAAAGGATTGAAGTGGCTGCCAGATAATGTTACCAGTGAGAACTAATTAGGAGCTGTAATTTGGCAGGAGTGTCAACAGACATGACTCTGGATGGAATCACCTCTCCAGCTGAACTTTTCCACCCGGAGACCTCAGGAATCCCAGATGTGATCTTCTTTTTCAGGTGAAGATAAGAGGCCAGTCTATGGAAACCCTAGGTCTCCTCCATAATTCCTGTGGTATCCTTCTCTCTCTATCCACCTCCTACCTAGCAAGTTAGAACATGTCTGTAGTCCAGCAGACCTGCCCAGTTGTGAGAGTAAAGGCTGGTCGTTCCCTCATTCCAGCTTCTTGAGTATTACTGGGGCCGTTCAACCCTAGAAGCAGGGAGAAATACCGGAAGATCTGTAGCAGACTTCCAACCTAAGAGGCCCCAGTGTGTAAGGGCCATGTCTTTCCTAGACCAGTGCACTTCCCCTTTGATTAGATCACCCTGGTCTCTAGTCTCTCCGTATATAGACCAAAGTCTATGCACTCCAAGCGTGTCAGGATAGAACCAGAGTCCTGACTTGCCCACGGAGGGCATCATTCCATGTTGATTTCACTTAATAGCTCCCCAATAACGTGGTCGAATGACTCCTTCCCCCCATGGGGCCTGTCTTTTTCTATAGGTCCAATGATGTGACCCAGTCCTGCAGTTCTGGAAGATCAACCACTATCCGTGTCAGATGCAATCCACTGAAAGCTGCCCCTGGAAGTCTGTCGCTGCCGAGGTAATCCCTACCAAGGGGGTGTGACAAAGGCCACCAGCTCCCTTCCTTGGACACATTCCATCCCAATAACCAGAGAACGCTGAAAAAATGGCCAAAGAGAAAAGTAGTTTGAGATCCATGAGCAGTTGGGGGCACAGCCATGGCCCCCAAACCCTCAATCTTCAGATGGCAAGAATGGGGCAGAAGGAAGAATCAAAGCTACCTTTACCTTCACCTTCCAGGCCATTAGGGTAGCTGCAGAGCAGCTGTCATTGACAGCCGTATTTAAATCAACAACTCCACCTACTAGCTGTGTTAGCGTGGACACATTTCTTATCTTCTCCAGGCCTCTTTGTCCTTGCATGTAAAATGAGCACAATCATAAATTCCCCCAGGAAGTTGTTTTGAAGATCAAATAAAACAATGGGACTTTAGGACTTCCCTTGTAGTCTGGCCATTATTAAGATGAGTAAGGAGTTAGGAATCCTAGGAACCTCTCTGCAACTAAAAGACCCAATTCTGATTTTAATAGCTCAGGGCACTAGATCAAGAATAATATGAACACAGGACACCATTCATTTTTTTCCCCGCCATATAACATTAACTAGCATCTTGATGAGCCCTTGTGTCTTGATGAGCGTAGTTTGGGAAGTGCTTCTCTGAAACCACTGACTAGGGAGCCAAGAAGTGGAGCAGGACATCTTGATTAGCTGGGCCTTATAGTGCACAACTGTAATTCAAGCACTCAGAAGGCTGAGGCAAGAAGATCTCAAGTTTGAAGCCAGCCTTGGCTACATGGCAAGACCCTGTTTCTAAGAAAACAAAAAAGCTTGACCCAGCTGTGGTGGAAAATCACTGTTCTTGCTATTGTAAACACCACAGTGAAGAACATTCTTGAACACCACCTTACCTCTAAGCCCATACCCAGGAAGCTGCATCAAAGTGGCTATTACAAAACGTCACATATTCATGGGGAGGACAGGAATCTCTGAGGGGCAGCCACACGAGAGCTCTGGCACCTTATGTTAGCAATCATCTGTTGTCAGCAGAAACATAGACGGGAAGAGAGTGGGGAGCCCGGCGGAGACACGGAGGTAGTTGGAGAGCTGAATCTAAGTTAAGGACAAGTCAGCAGGACCAGTGGGGCACTTTGGGCAGGGAGAAAATGAATCAGGCAAGCAATGAAACAACAGGCATCCGAACAGATCTTTTCCATCAGTCTTGCAAGTGAGAGCTCAGATTCCCTTTCTGCTTTGCCAGCACATGCTCTGATGGGACCTGTGATGGCTGTAACTTCCACTTCCTGTGGGAGAGTGTCTCTGCTTGTCCCCTCTGCTCAGCCGCTGACTACCACACTTTCCTCAGCAGCTGTGTGGCTGGGATCCAGGTAAGTTGTCCTCTGACTGGGGACTTCCCAGGTGGGAAGGGAATGGGAGATCTGAGTTCCTTTGTTTTTCTCCCCAACAGAAGACTACTTATGTGTGGCGAGAACCAAAGATATGCTCTGGTGGCATCTCCTTGCCTGAGCAGAGAGTCACCATCTGCAAAACCATAGATTTCTGGCTGAAAATGGGCATCTCTGCAGGCACCTGTACAGCCATCCTGCTCACCGTATTGACCTGCTACTTTTGGAAAAAGAATCAAAAGTACATGTTGGGATACTGGAGTTTGAGGGTGGACAGGCTGGATCGTTGAACAAGGAGAATATCTGAGAGTATATGTTAGTGGAGATTTTTTTCTGGAGTTGGCCATAGACCCTGTGACACTGGCCAGAAACTTGTAGAGCTACTTCTCCAGCATGTGTCTTGGTTATCCTCACTCCTGAACAGGTGGGGAATCAAACAGCTGTTAGATCCTCAAGAGAAAAGCAAAGAATATCCTTGGGCAGGGGATGTAGTTCGGTGGTAGAGCACTTACCTCATATGCAAGAGACCCTTGGGTTTGTAGTTCAGCACTGCAAAAAGAGAGAGAAAGAGAGAGAGAGAGAGAGAGAGAGAGAGAGGGAGAGAGGGAGAATGTCCTTTCCCCTGTTATTATTAATAATATAAATAAAGACTTTATGGTTTCAATATCTCCATTGAGATTTGAGATCACAGAAACAGTGAGCCTTAAAGAAACAAAGATCAGAACACTGAGATCTGTTCCCCGGTCCTAACACCATTTTCCTACCTTTCAGTTTCCTTACCCAAGACATGGTAGTATCTGTTTATAGCCCAACCTTTCTCTTTCTTTCCCCCTAACTCCCACATTTGGTGTCTTGCTTTTCTCATCCCCCACTTCACAGGCTAGAATACAAGTACTCCAAACTGGTGATGAATGCCACCCTTAAGGACTGCGACCTGCCAGCAGCTGATAGCTGTGCCATTATGGAAGGCGAGGATGCTGAAGACGACCTTATCTTTACCAGCAAGAAGACACTGTTTGGGAAGATCAAATCATTCACCTCCAAGGTAGGGAGACTGGCAGTGCACTGAGGTCAGGGTGGAGGGTTGGAGAAGACACCACTCCTAGGACACTAAATGACCCTGCACTGTGCAGGGTCCACTGCTGTACTCCCAACTCCCCACACTCTTTTGTCCCTTACCTGGAAATCCTGCCTTCTACTCTGTATTTCCTACCAATACTCTTTTCCCTGGAGCCCAAGGCTGCTTTTGACCAGGGTCCTTTGGTGAACTGTTTGGGTCTTTTAACTTCCAGAAGGAGTGTTGAACCATTGATGTTGTAAGAATCACCCCCCCACACACACCCCCTTTTGTTTGTTTGTTTGTTTTTGTTTTCTTCTGGAGGTGGGGAAGAGATAATCCCTAGAACTTCTGGTAGAAAAGTAAGGCTCTCCCTTGACCAGTGGAGGGTGCTGTCTCTCAGGTGTCTGGGCCAGGTCCTGAGGAGCTGAGTCATAGCTTAGTCTACACTGCTCACTGTAGAGCAATTCTGAGCTGGACGGGTTGGCTCTGTGTGGGTGGGTGAGTGAGTGTGAAGCTCATAAATGCAATACAGACACCACTGTCACTGGGCGTGGGGCCAGCAGAGAGCATCCAGGCAACTCCTTCAGGGCTGCTCCAACCCTACCTGCCAGAGTGCACACCTGCCTGAAGCCAGTCATCCAAACAGATGTGGGTGGGGAGCATGGTGAGAGGGAGGAGAAGACAGGAGGGATGTGAAGACAGGATGGCAGCTAGGTGTTTAGATGACTGGAATCGTGTTCCCTTTGTGCTGACCTGCCAGGGCAACTCCCTTGGCCTCCTTAGACCTTGGTTTTTAATTCACTAATGGAAGAACAGTTCTATTTTCTAGAACTCATCAAAAATGCCAAACAGGGGATTTTAAAGATTTGTTTTATTCTTTGACAGAGCCTAAAGGGAGTAAGAAGAACAGAGGGTGTCTCATTTCTGTTTCCACAAAGCCATTGAAAACAGGAATTCCATAAGGAGTCCTTCTATCACCTATTTTCCGTTTCTCTTCTTTGTCCCCCAAACTTGTCCATGTGCAGCAGCCAGCTCCTGTCACCATCTCTCTTTCAGAGGACTCCTGATGGATTTGACTCAGTGCCACTGAAGACGTCTTCAGGAGGCCCAGACATGGACCTGTAGAGGCAGCGCCTTGCCTCACCTGCCTCCTCGCCTCGGCCAGTGCATCACCTTGCAAGTCCGTGGCGATTTGGGTACCAGCATCCTGCAATACCCACTGCTGGAAATCTCTTCATTGTGGCCTTATCAGAAGAAGTTTGAATTTCAGATCTTTGGTTTTTTTAACAGAGTACCCAAACCTTCCTTTCTGCTTGCCTCAACCCAGCCAAATATACCCACACTTGGTTTGTGTGTTATTCCCTTGCTTGCATCTTGTTTCCTGAAATGGTGAATCGCCAGAGCCATAACCTCACCTGCTTATTTTTATTTTATTTTGTTTGGAGATAGGGGCTTGTCGTATAGCTCAGGATGGCCTCCAACTTGCTATCCTCCACCCTCTGCCTCCCAAGTGCTGGGATTCTAGGTGTACCTGGCTCGCCCATAATTCTTATAGCTCTGGAGTGAAAATACTTCTCTCTTTTAAGTATGGAAATGATTTCTTCTGTCCTGTTATTTAAGGGCAGGAACACCTGGGTGTTTTCCTGATTGTATGCCCTCAGCTCATGATCTCTTTAGGAGAGAGGCTGGGTGAGGGGATGTCGGGGTTCTCTATGGACAGTTTCCATGGTAGCCTGGATTCATTTCTCCTGGACCAAGGTAATGGACAGTCAGAGGAAAAGGAAAGTGAGGCCTGTACAAGGTGAAGGTGAAGAGGCTTGACAAGCACAAAGAGAGGCAGGAAGGATTGTTTTGTTTTGTTTTATAACCACGTACCTCATTTCCTTCTCTTAAGTAAATGATAAAAAGCCAAAGGAAAATATTTATTAAGAAAATGCCCAGTGTGGAAATGTAGCTCAGTGGTAGACCGCTTGCCTAGTGTTCACAGGGCCCTGGGTTCAAGCCTCAGTACTGCAAAAAACAATGCCCAAAGCCCGGGTGGATCTATTCCCAGCAATTTTTTTTTTAACCTCCTACACTTTGACATTGAAGAGAACCAGGTAACCTCCAAGCCCAAATATTCTATCCCTGTCCTTTATTGGCTTTTACCCAGAGATGGCAAACCTCTTCCAGTGAGAAAAATGTCCATCCTGAGCCATCCAGTCCTAGAAGCCTGGGTCATATCACAGGACAGGGGCATCTTATTTTGAAAGAACACAGAAGGCCAAGGTTTTAGTGGGACAGTACTGGAGACTCCAGCCCACAGTGACATGGTGCTGAGTGGCCATGATGTCTACTTCTGAGCTTAACTCAGCCACAGAATTAGCTCAGCCACAGAACTAGTAACTTCTAGGCTGGCCAGAAAGGAATTGAATCCAAGGTTTATACCCCAGCACACAACCAGACCAGTCTTCAAGGAGAGAAGACTAGAGATGTTGAACAAGGTCTTCACCAAACTGGGATGCTTCTCACCTTTGAGCCCCTGTCCTTACCTTTTTCTTTTCCCATTTTCTAAAAACTAAAAATTCTTCTGGCCCCCATTTCTAGCAACATTCCTTTTTGAAAGGTAAGTCACGTGGATATCCTTGTTTCCCCTTTCCACTTTTATTCCGACTATAACTGATGAACTCCAAGTCCCTAGGATGGTAAAGCCAGAGAAAGACGTTCAGTTATCTTTTTCTTCCTACTACTGGCAATTCTCCCTCTGTCATTGTCAGAGGGAGACAATGCCCAACACTTCATCAAGCCCCAGTTGCCCATGCTTTGTGCCTGTTCTCTTTCTCAGTGACCATTTGGTGACCAGAGGGTCAGTCTAGAAACGGAGGGCATTTCCAAGTGGTTTGTTTGCCACAAAGTGGTTTACTCATCTGATTAGCTATGGCTACCCTGGCAATGATCTTACAAGTCACTGAGAAGTAGAACTGCCATGACTTCTGGCCATCAACAGCATCGGTGGTAGCAGGAAGCCTCTGGCTCAATAAATCTAGACGGTTTTCTTTGGGTGTCCAAGTTCTCCATCCTTGTGTGGCTTTCAGAACCTGCGGCCATAGTGGAATGTCCTGGGGATGGATGCACACATGTAGCCCCTGGGCTCCAGCCTACTGTCTCCTGCAGCCTCCTCAGTTCCTAGGCTTCTGCTTCACGCTGAATAACTTTGTGGCTTTTTGCCACAAAGGCTGCTGAAGTCCTTAAACTATTCTGGAAGAAGTAGAAAAATGACATCCCCCTTGACTGCTTTATTTTGGCATCTTGAAACTCATTGCCTGCCCCCAGAGCAACCTCAAACTCCACTGACTGATTTAGTTATGGTACCTTAAGGATCAACTTTTTACTACTCATCACTGGGCTGATTTCTAAGGGAAGGGGGTCACCTTTTGCTCCCATAGCAATTTAGACACTTAAGATATTTTTAAACACCTTTATTGAGATGTAAGTTGCAAACATTACAATTTGCCCATTTAAAACACTCAATGGCTTTTAGTATACTCATAGAGTTGTACACCCACTCTTGTTTTCAGTGCTGGGGATGGAACCCAGAGCCTCTCAGATGCTAGGCAAGAGTGCTCCCACTTAACCACATCCCCAGACCTGTACATACATTTTAGAACAGACACATGTTAGATCTGTCATGGGAGAAGGCTTTCGCCCTTGACTCAGGGCTTGCAGTGGTTTGCACAGGCTATTTGGGGAGCAACTGTGAGCTCAGGAGATAAAGTGTTTAAGTCCCACTTGGTTACCCAGAGTCCTGGAACACATAAGTAACTCTCCTGTACTTGTCTCCTGTATTTGGCTGGGAATACAAATGAAGATTGTGAACTATTGAAGGACCAGGGGATTTCTTATGCCTACAAAACCTTTCTTTTTTTTTTGATCTGACTCTACATTAAAGATAAGACTGGCTATATTTATACAGCACAGACTTTGTAATGGATTTTTTCAGCTTTGTGAAATCAAATTTGTGTCTCTTCAGGGTGGGTTGGATTTGCTTTTTAATCTGTATTCCAAGCATTTATAGTTTGTTAGGGGGTGGGGATTGCATGTCATGATTTTCTGTGAAATAAAAACATACCTTTTGAGTTGTTTTTCTTGAACCTGGGTTGGGGGAGTGTGGCTGGATGGGTGAGTGGGAAAACCAGAAGAGGAGAAGACAGAAAAGAGCACAGGCTTCACAGTCACAGGGACCTTCCCTAGAAACTTCTTGCCACCTGAATCATTGAATCATTGGGCAAAGTTTCCACCATAGTAAAATGTATTGAATAATACCAAGATTCGGTGAGGGGCAATGAGAAACTCCTAGCATGTCAATTCCCTTTCCTCTCATTCCAGGCTTCTCCCAAGTGGCACGAGAGGTATGTTATTTGTGGATATGTTATTCTCCAAGTAAACTTAGCTTCTTTGGGTAGGAGATGGATTATTACAGACTAGATGTGGAGAAAATCCTACAGGAGATCAAAGACATACAATTTCCAAGGATTGCTGAATTTTCCTACGTCAGTACTTTCTTTCACTCTAGTTGAGGGCAATTGACTCCCCCTCACAATTCTCTCCTTCAGGGTACCTGTGGCTCATGTCTATAATTCTAGCTACTTGGGAGGCTGAGATTGGGAGGATCTTGGTTTGAGGCCAACCTGGGCAAAAAGTTCATGAGACTCCATCTCCAAAGTAACCGAAGAAAAATGGACTGGAGGTGTGGCTCAAGCGATAGAGCACCTGCTTTGCAAGTGCAAAGCCCTGAGTTCAAACTCTAGTCCCAAGAATTCTCTCTGCTAGATGAGTTTAGAACTTCACAGACTTTTAAGTCTGAGTGGCACTAAGCACCAGGTGTTGTACATCAGGGCCTTGGGGAAATATTTTTGTAGTTTTTAAAAATTTTTTTAAATTTTTGTTTTTTTTCTTTCTTTCTTTTTGGGGGAATTTTAAGCTTCCAAATAGGCCCCTCCTCTACCAGTCCCTCTCCTCTTCTGCTACCAGAGTCTTTTCCCTCTCTTTTCCGTCGTTCCTTTTAAAATGGTCTCACTATGTAGCCCAGGCTGCCCCTGAACTTAAGATTTTCCTGCCTCAGCCTTCCAAGTTCACGATTACAGATGTGAACCAGCATGCTTGGCTCAGTGTCTTTTTTCTGGGGTTTGAACTTAGGACTTCGTGTTTGTTATGCAGGTGCTCTATGCCTTAGGCCACACAGCCAGCCCTTTTTGCTTTGGTTATTTTGGAGATAAGGTCTGGTTTTTTGTCCAGGCCTGCCTGGACTGTGATCCCTCTACCTTAAACTGCTGCTGATGAGATGACAGACACACCACCACACCCGGCTTTTTTTCTGTTGAAATGGAGTCTCTGGAATTCTCCCCCATCCCCTGGTCTGGAACTGTGATCCTCCTAATTTCGGCCTCCCACATAGCTTGGGAAGACAAGTGCAAGCCACTTCATCCAGCTATTGGTTGAGATGGGGTCTCATAAATTCTTGCCCAGGGATGGCGTCAAACCACAATCCTCCCAATCTCAGCCTCTCAAGTAGCTAAGGTTACAGTCATGCACACCCCCAACCCCCCTTCACTCAGTGTACTTTTTCAAGTTCATATTTGATGGCACCAGGATGCAAAAATCTCTAATTACTGCTGTCAGGCAGGACCATCACTATCATAACATACCCATCTGTACTCCAAGGCTGGTTGTTTGGGACTCACGTCTATTTGACTTGATGGTGCCTGGGATATACTGGGGTTAAATGCCACTCTTGTGTGTAGAATAAAGTCCAAAGTCTAAGAAGAAAAGTAGAAAAGGAAATGTGTTAATTTGACATGTGGCAGATCTGGACCGAGTGCTTTCATGGCATTGCATCACTTAGTTCTCAGAACAGCCTCGAGGCAGGTCATATCCCGTTTATGACAGAGGAAGAAATTCTAGTTAGGTAGCCTACAGGGTCCCTAGCAGCCTACTCTGGCAGTTGCCCCACACTTTCTCCTCCAACCAAACTCTCTACAGGGCCATTGCTCTCACTTCTGCCTCCGCTTCTTTCCTATAACCCAACAGATCCCACCCAGGCTTCAGAGTCACCCCACCCACTAAGGATACGACAGTGAAATAACAAACTCGTGAAAACTTGACCACTGCTAACCCAACAAACAAGTCACAAACAATCAAGTTTGAAATTAGAGGCGTGGGGTGTACATGAATAATTTTAAGGGTTTCCCCGGTGACTGACAAAGAAGTGGCCAGGCAAGAAGTTGCATATGACAGCTTAAATCTTAGTCTAAAGAAGGCACTTATTTGAGAACCACAGAGCAGTGTGACTACTGAAGAGAGACAGAGACTTTGTCAGGTAGAAATACAAAACTTTATGGGTAATTTAAGAACGATTCAAGGAGAATTTGGAACATAAGCATATTTCTTCTGACTGCTGAAAGTTAATCATCCCACAGCCTATAATTCCAGCTTCTTGGGAGGCTAAGGCAGGGGGATTGTGAGTGAGTTTGAAGCCAGCCTGGGTAACACAATGAGATCCCATCTCCAAAGCTAAACAACAAAAAAGAAAAGAATGATCCCATGTGAAATGCAACTCCCTATAAGATAGTGTGTTGGGAGAATTAACTCCTCATCTGATTCTGTCAGAGGGAGAGGCTGGGCCAAGGCCTCTTCCCCCCAGATCTGGCAGCCTTCCCTAAACCACACTGTATCTTTGAATTCCTTCTTAGTCTCCCAAGGACGCAGCATCACCCTTTGTTGCAGTGTCTCTCTGACAGAAGAGGGTGAGCAACTCACAGCTGGAGTTCCTCCAGAAACAGTATGGTCAAAACTAGTGTTCCCTGGGAAACCAGAGGGTGCCTAACCAACCCTGGGTGTACAGGGAAGAGGGTGCTGGAGAGGGCTTCTGGGAGGAAGGAGGAATTAGCCAGTTAGGAGGAACACAGAAGGTAAAGAGAGTTCAAGGTGGAAGGAGCTCGTTGTGCAAAGAAAGGAAGGGGAGACATGAGCATTTGGTATGGGAAGTGCTCAGGAATTGTTAAGAGTTAAACAGGGGCCGTGTTAGAGAAGCTGGTAGGAACCAGGTCATGAAGGACTTTGACAGCTATGTTTCGATGTTCTCCTGAGGATAACAGATAGCCACCCAAGGTTTTCAGCAGGGAAGTGACAGGATCAGACTTGCTTGTTATATACTGAGAAGTCTTACTCCAAACCTAGGACAGGACAAGGAAGGCAAAAAGAAGCTAGAGCGAGGCCTCGGAGAACCCTCGCACATCAGCCAGCTCTGAACTATCCCTCAGCTACCAAGCGGTATGGCATCCAGGACTCTGCTCCCCAGAGCCTGCAACTTCTACTCCCTCAGGTGGTGAGGACTCTCTAGCTGCGTTACTGTTCTGTGGGGACAAAAATGCAAACACCCAGTAGTCTTTGTCCTATAAGAAAAGGCCACATATTCTAGAAAGGAGGCAAGTCTGACTCCATAAGATAGCCTGTGTCCTTGGTTTGGTTCCATCCTTTAACTTCCCTGGCCTCAGTTTCTACACACAGAAAATAAGGGTTGGGCTGGTGGGGTGGCTCAAGTGGTAGAGTGCCCGCCTAGCAACTGTGAGGTCCTGAATTCAAATCCAAGCACCTCCAAAAAGAAAACAAGGGTTGGCCTAGCTTGCTGTTTTCTGGAAGAGGGTTCTTAAGCACCTGAATCCTCAGAGGCAGCACCCAAGAGCTCTTCTCTCATCACCCAAGGGGGTGATGGCTTCACCCTAGAACTACAGTTCTACTTATGTATTGGGTTTTGTTAGCAATGGCTTTTTTTTTTTTTTCTGAGGTACTGGGGATTGAACTCAGGGCCCAAGGCTTACTAAGCAAGCATTCTACCACTCCCCCAGTCCTTTCACTTTTAGTTTGTTTTGCAGATAGGATCTTGCCCTATCTTTGCCCAGACTGGCCTGGGGCCTCAATTCTCTTCACCCCCTAGTACTCTCTCCTTTTTTCTTCCTCTCTCACACTGACTCCTATGCCCCAGACAGTCTCCTTTTGCACTCATGTCGCATCATCATCGTCCATCATGACCATTGTCACCAGTCATACTCATTTTAGATCTACATTCCATATAGGAGCAAAACCATGTGATATTTGACTTTTTGAGCTTGACTTATCTCACTCAACATGATGAGCTCCAGTTAAGCATGTCAATTATTGCCGGGCACCACTGATTCATACCTGTAGTCCTAGCTACTTGGGAGGCTAAAATCAGGAGGATCTTGGTTTGAGGCCAGCTTGGGTAAATGTTTCATAACACCTCATCTCCAAAATAACCACAGAAAAAAGGCCTGGAGGTGTGGCTAAAGAGGTAGAGTGTCTACTTTACAAGTGAGAATCCCTGAGTTCAAGCTTCAGTCCCACAAAAAAAAAAAAAGTGAATTATTTGTGGCCAGGATTTTCTTTTTTCTCACTTGTGGCAATGGAGCTAAATATTTTAAGTAGTATTTTTCAAACTGTATTTTAAAAATTACTAAACTAAAACTGCTGGACTAAAAGACTTAATTCTCTAAGGGAATCCCCTGCCTCTAGCTGCAGAGCTTCTGTTACTCCCAAGTGGGTGCATCAAACTGAGAAAGTCCAGGCAATACAGTGAGAGTGGGTGTCCCAAGTGCAAAGAGAAAACGGAAAGGACTTTATGGAAAGGGGTGTGATTGGATTTTATTGAAAATCAGAGATGGGAATAACTGAACTAGAGAATAGGATGTCATAGAGCAGGGACCTTGTTACATTCACAGGGAGCCCCCAGTGGGAAAGCAGTGCTGCAAAACGCAGAAGCACATACATACATCACAGATTTGCAGTACTGGGATTTGAACTCCAGGACTCAAGCTTAGTAGGCAGGCGCTCTACCAATTGCACCACTCCACCAGCTTTCTTTGTTTGTTTTTAAGATAGGGTCTTGTGATGGCTTTGAACCACAATTCTCCTGATCTCTGCCTCCTGAGTAGCTAGGATTACAGGTGTGAGCTACCATGCCTGGTTAGAAGCATATTTTTTAAATTCAATGAACCAATAGATATTTCTTGGCTGCCTACAGTTCTAGGCAATAGAAGGGGATATAAAAAAAAGTCTAAGCATCATTTGGGGGGAAACTGGATCAATCTGTGGATTAAAATAAAATGGAATCCTTATCTGATATTACTTTCAAATGTAAACCCCAGATAGAATGAAGACCTAACAAAAAGTTCTAGCAACCTGATAGAAGAAAATATAGGAAATTATCTCTGTGACCTAAAAGTAGGAAAGCATTAAATATGAGCTCGAAGCCAGCCTGGGCTACCTAAGAGAGTTCTAGGCTAGCCTGGGCTAATATATAGCAAGATTCATCTTTAAAAAACAAACCAGGTGTCCGTGGCTCACACCTGTAATCCTAGCTACTCAGGAGGCAGAGATTGGGAGAATCGAGGTTCTAAGCCAGTCTGGACAAATAGTTTGTGAGACCCTATGTTGAAAAAACCCATCATAAAAAAAGGGCCTGTGGGGTGACTCAAGCGGTATGAGTGCCTGCCCTAGGAAGTGTGAGGCCCTGAGTTTGAACCCCAGTATCACCAAAAAAAAAAAAAAAAAGTTAAAGTTTTGGAGGGCATTTTCCACAGAAATAAGAAAGTTATAAAATCAAAATGCTTTCAAAATATACCCAATGCACCCAAGCTGCTTTCAAATACATCCAAGACTTCAATGTTTTGTACTGCCTTTAAATCCGATACTACTGTCACTTTGGAAAAGTCTCATGTCTCTCTCCAAAGATTTCACTTGTGCATTCCCAACTCTGTGATCTTCTTTTCCCTATTAATATTGTGTTTTATCTAATTTTAAGAGATGATTTTTTTTAAGTAACAAAAGCACTCATTTGTCTGGAAATATATGTAAAAATAGCATATAATTATAAAATTAAATATTTTGTTCCATCACACTAAACTGAATTTCATCTTAACAATAGATCATTTTATCTATTCTTTGAACATTAAGAGAAATTATTAACTTAAGCGACTGAATATAAGTGAGTCAGTGACTCACGCCTATAATCCTAGCTACGTGGGAGGCAGAGATTAGGATTGCAGTTAGAAGCCAGCCCCTGGCAAATAGTTTTGGAGACCTTTTCTCAGAAAAACCCATCACAAAAAAAGGGCTGGCAAGTGGCTCAAGCAGGAAGAGTGCCTGCCTAGCAAGTGTGGGGCCCTGAGTTCAATTCCCAGTGACCCCCAAAAAAGAGAAAAATGAGGACTGAATATTGCACTCTATAATGCCTTTAATTGATCTTCATTTATCTTGTATCTTACATATCTTGAATACTTCAGAGCTTTTTTTTATTACTATTGTACTGGGGGTGCATTGTGACATTTACAAACATGCTTACAATATATCATAGTTGAGTTCACCCCCTCCTTCATTCTCCTTTATTCCCCCTCCCTCCATTCCTGGAATAGTTTCAGCAGGTCTCATTTTTCCATTTTCATACATGAGTACATAACATTTCTACCATAGTCACCCTCCTACACCCTTTCCTTATGTCCTCCCCCTCCCACTGGAACCAACCCCCAAGACAGGACCTGTTTTGCCTTCCCTTTTTTGAAGACATTTTTGTTTAAGATAGCTATACAGGGTGTTTCATTGTGACATTTCCATGTACATATGTATTATAACCCAAATTAGCTCATCCTTCCATTTTTCTCCTTTCTACCTTAGTCCCCGTCTTACAGTGATTTCAACAGGTTTAAAAATTCTATATTCATTCTTGTATAGAAAGTATGTCAACTTCTTAACTTTCTTCTTTTACGCTGTCTCCTATTAGGCTCCTCCCCCTCCTGCTTTTCATAACATTGCTTGCATTTGTATTGAGCCTATATTCCACATACGAGAGAAAACGTGGCGTTTGGCTTTCTGAATTTGGCTGACTTCACTCAAGATGATGTTCTCCACCAACCCTTGTGACCTTGTAGGTCGGTTATAACCAACAGCTTGATTACCTAAGATCAGGAAAGGTTTTTCAGCTCTGAGGGAGGAGAGCAGGAATCTTGAGTTGAGGTAACCCTGGTGAAAAAATTTGTAGCCCTATTCCGGAAACAAGACAGAGAAGCCAAGCACGGTCTGCAATCCCAGAACTCGGACAGAAGTTAGAGGACATCCTGGGCTACATATAAGACTCTGTCAAAAAAAGAGAAAAAAGAAAAAAGAAAAGAAAAAGTGAGAGCAGAGGTGTAGGGAAAAAAACCTTTGTTCAGCTCTAGGACCCCATCGCATAGAGGACATCTGCGGGGAGTGCTAGCTTCCAGGTGAAGGATCAAGAAACAGCCCTGTGCCTACCCTGAGACAACGCCCTACAACACAAGGAAACTGAGGCACTCACAGACGTACGGAGAGCTCAGAGGCCGCGGAGACGGCGGCAGAGCCCACGCCCACCCACTACGTGGGTCCCCGGGCGGCCGCGCATGCGCGGGAGGCCGGGTCAGCGCGCAGGCGCAGTGCGTCGCTCACGGGCTGACTGCTGCGGTCGGACCCTCAGTTCTCTGGTGCTGGCCCTGGAGAAAGCAGGATGGTGCTGGATCTGGACTTGTTTCGGGTGGATAAAGGAGGGGACCCTGCGCTCATTCGAGAGACTCAGGAGAAGCGCTTCAAGGACCCGGGTCTGGTGGACCAGCTAGTGAAGGCAGACAGTGAGTGGAGACGATGTAAGTACCGGGATGTGCGAGGTATCCCTCCAATTTTAAACTCAGCTTCATCTCGAATCCGGTCACCGTTCTGGAGGTCACAGCTTCCTCCCGTTGTTAGGTCCTCTCTCGGGCCTTGGTGGCTCCAAGGCTTTGCCTATCCTCCAGCAGCAGGGAGCTAGGGTCGTCCCATTTTCCCCTCCGCGCCGGTAGCGTGAGGTCCCTTCCGCGCATGCTCCGTGCGGACCGCCGCCTGTGCGGCTGGAAAGGCGTACGGCGCATGCGTAGGGAGCTGTCATGCCTTCCTGCCCCTTGGGTAGCCAGGGAGAGTTTTAGCAGAGTTTCCCTTTCCTAACACTTATCTTTGGTCGCCTTTAGCCCTTTTCTCATCTTCAGCAAGGCCAGCGCGGCCTCCATATTTTGCTAGATCAAAGGCTGCTGTCTCCAAATGAGCCAACATCTGCAGCACAGTTTTTCTCCATCGTATTTAAAGCATTTAGGGACTTTGGAGGCTGCTGTTGGCTAAAAATGATCCCGGAGCTCTAGGGAAGGCCATCTTTCCGATCTATGAGCATACCTTTAAGAATCAGAAGTGTTTTCCGTCGCAGGTCAGACAGGAGGGGAGGGGCTGCTGTGAGGCAAGGAAAAGAGGTTGTAATTACTGAGGTTGCTTGTGATTTGTGGAAGTTTCCTGGAAAAGGAAGAGTTGGGCATCTGATCTGGACATCTTTCATGACAATAAATAAAACCCTAGAGCCCTCCGCCCTCCTCTGCCTCTGAGTCTCTGCCTAGGTTAGCAGAAGTGATCACTGGTTGGCCGGATGTTGTCAGGCACACGTGATTGGTTTTGTCTGATGCAATAGGTCTGCAACCAGCTGAGAACCAGGTTTGTGACAGCACACTGCAGAGGCATTTGCTACCCAGGAGTTCAGTGATGGGTATCTATTGGGGAAATTGATTTTTACTTAGTTTATAAAGGTCTTGAATGCCAAAAAAATATTCATTTAACTAGAATCGTGTTCTGAGTCTTTATGTTTCAGGCACTCTAATGTGGTCCTTTGTAAGATTCTACACTTGGATCTGAAGCTTTGAGTTGCAGTGGAATTGGAATTTGCCAGATTTTTTTGTTTAAGATAAAAATACTCTGAGCCAAACATGGTGGCATATGCCAGTAATCCCAGCACTTCGGAGGCTGAGGGAAGGGAATCTCAAGTTCGAGGCCAGCTGAGCAATACAGCAAGACCCTGCCTCGGAAAGAAAAGAAAAATCTGAGTATATTGTCCCAATCAGAAGTCAGGAATAACAGGTTCTGAATCAGTCCAGCCATTTAGACAGCAGCTACTTGACTGTGAATGTGTTTGCCAGCCCTTGTGTATATATAATGTCTGTGGGAAGTTTTGTCCCTGACAGATGGATATGTAGTGAGTTCTTTAGGGACAAAGATTGAGTGTTATATATATACACACAGGATATACAGACACCAAAGGATAATTACAGCAATTTAAAGGGTTTGTTTTTTGTTTTGTTTTGTTTTTTTGCCAGGTGCCGGTGGCTCATGCCTGTAATCCCAGCTACTCAGGAGGCAGAGATCAGAAGGATCACTGTTTGAAGCCATTTCAGGCAAATAGTTCACAAGATCCTATCTTGAAAAAAAAAAAAAAGCAACACAAAAAAGGGCTGGTGGAGTGGCTCAAGGTGTAGAGTTCAAACCCCAGTTTGAGGGGTGAGGGGTTGGTACTGGAGTTTGAGCCCAGGGCCTTACACTTGCCAGGCAGGTGCTCCACTACTTGAGCCACAGCCTTGGCAATTTTTGCTTTATTTATTTACTTAATTTTTGAATAGGGTCTTTTGATTTTTTCCCCTGGGCAGGCCTGGACCGCCATCCTCTTGCAAGTGCCACCATGACCAGCTTTATTGGTTGAGATGGGGTCTCCAGAATTTTTTGCCTAGGCTGGCCTTGAGATCCTCCTGATCCCTGCTTCCCAAGAATCTGGGCTTATAGGCATGAGCCATTGCATCTGGCTAAAGATTTTTGTTTTGTTTTGTTTTTTTGGTGATACTGGGGATTATACTCAGGTCCTTGTGCTTATGAGGCCGGTGCTTTACCCCTTAATCCATACCCTCAGTCCTATCTGTTTTTTTTTTTGGAGATGAGGTTCAGCTGTTTTGCCCTGGCTGGTGTAGAACTCATGGGTTCAAACCATCCTCTTGCCTCAGCCTCCCAAGTAGCTGAGACTATGCGTATGTGCTCCCACATCTTGCTTTAAAGATTTTTTGTGTGTGTTACTGGAGATCGAACCCAGGGCTTCTCACATACTAGGCAAGTACTCTACCACTGAGCTGTGCCCCAGCCCATTTGCATTTTATTTTGAGACAAGGTATTGCTAAGTTGCCCAGGTTGGCCTTGAACCCTTCCATCCTCCTGTCTCAGGCTCTCGAGTGCTGGGATTACTGGCACGTGTCACCATACTGGCTTTCTCTATCTAGTTACTGGTTATGGCTACATATTTTGTCACCAGAGTTACTTCAACTCAAGATTTCTGCCAGCTTAAAAGATCTTACTTGGCTTTATTTTTCAATTTTATAACTGGCAACACTTCATTCTGTTAAAAAAGAACAAGTGTTTGAGCTGAGAAGAGGTTGACTTTATAAAGAGGGGTCGAAGAAAGTAGAAGCAAAGAAAGAAAAGCAGATTGGTTATTTCAGAGTTTTTACTTTCCCTATAGGGTGGGGACTGGGAGTCAGGTAAAAAGGAAGTACAATTGGTTGGTTAATATCAGATTACTTCAATTTACTTTTTTGTAAGGATTAAAGCAGAGGAATCTTCATTGTCATGTGGATTGAGCTGACCTGGCTCTTCTCTTGATTTCTGTAAACAGCTTAGTTTCAGTTTGGTCATATGGAACTTTAGCATGGTGACTCCATTTTGATTTTTAGTCCGATTTATTGGGGCTGTATGCAAGAGCCTAGTTCACAACAGTGGCCTCCTGTAACTTTTATATATGCACATACACAAATACACATATAATTCCAGTACTCAGCATTGCACCCATCCTTGATAAGGGCTTGGAAAGGTTTGTCACCTCTATGAAGATTTCTGTGTCCAGGGTACTTTAAACTCTGTGTGAAAGGCAATTTAGCTTGTTTTCAGCACATATCTGAATTGGGCTCTTTTATATTTGATCACCTTCCCAGTATTCATTTTGCATCCAAAAGGGGTTCATTGTTTTTTCCCCAAGTCCCTGGCTGCCCGAGTTGGACATTGACAGACGCTGTATCGAGGTTCTTTTGCATCTTGAACTTCAGATCAGAGCATGGGCTGCTTCTACCATTGGCTGCTATAGGACTTCTAACCAGAGTCACAGTAAGAACTTTGATCATGTTTCCTGCTGAGGACACAGCAGGCTTCCCCAAGCCCTCCATTACAACCATATCCATTTGTCTCTGTGCAGATTTTAAGGTGCTGCCAGGGCTCCACTGAGACCCTGGGAGTCTGCAATAACTTGCAGTTATAATACCACACTGGAGATTACCACAGTTCCTGAGATTTGAGCTGCAACTTCTTCCTTTTTAATTCAGAGTGTTGGCTCTACTCCCAAAGCCACTCGAGTTCAGTGTATCTTGAAATCCACTGCTAACCACAGGAATTCTGTCTTCCCCAAAATGTGCTCTCCTGAATGAGATTTCTTTCTCCCATCAACTGAAGCTGTTGTTTCCTGTTAACCTTTACTGTAACTGCTTTAAGCTAGGCCTTTAGCATTGTTTGCACTGACAATTAGAATAGCTTGTCACCCTTGGCTCTCTCAGTCAGAGGCCACACCCAGTACATGTGATCTTTCTGGAATGCAAATCTAAGGTCCTGGGGGTAACAGTTACACCTTTCAGTGGCAGTGATGGGCTAGGATGTGAGCCACAAGTATAGTTGTGCATTTGCTTGTAGTTTCTGTAAAAAAATAAAGGGAACCGATGAAATTAATCTTAGTAATGCATCTTATTTAACATAGTAAATCCAAAAATTAGCCGGGCTTGGTGGCTCATGTCTATAATCCTAGCTACTCAGGAGGCAGACATCGAAGGATCACAGTTTGAAGCTAGCCAGGCAAATAATTTGGAAGACCCTATCCTAAAAAAAAAAAAAAAAATCACAAAAAAGCTACTAGAGTGGCTCAAGGTGAGGTCCTGAGTTCAAACCCCAGTACCGAAAAAAAAAAAATTATATTTTCAAGCTGGGCACCCATGGCTCACATCTGTAATTTAGGTACTCAGGAGGCAGAGATCGGGAGGATTGCAGTTCAGAGCCAGCTGGGCAAATAGTTTGAGAGACCCTAATGTCGAAAATACCCAGCACAAATAAGGACTGGCGGAGTGGCTCAAGTGGTAGAGTGCCAGGCTAGCAAGCATGAAGCCCTGAGTTACAACCCTAGTATACCACCAAAAAAAAAAAAAAGTATTTTCAGCATGTCATCAGCATTAAACATTTAATATTTTTTTTTTTTGGCAGTACTGGGGTTTGAACTCAGGGCCTCAAACTTGGTAGGCACCTGCCACTGAGCCACTCCTCCAGCCCAGCACTAAACATTTAAATGACATAGTTTACGTTATCTTTTTGGTGTAAGTCTCCAGTGTGTTTTATTCTTATAGCACACCTTACTTTGTGCTGGCCGTATTTCAAGTGCTCAACAGTCACATGTGCTTAGAGACTTCCACCTGGACGGTGCAGCCTTAAGGCATAAAAATCCAAAAACTTGAACACAATTCACAAAGACCCCCATGGCTCCTCCCTCATCTTCACCACTTGTCTGCATGCATGTAGCCTCCCCTCGTTGCTCTGCTCATGTCACACGGACACACTCATCGGTGCTCCCGAGACTGTTGCCTCTTGCTGCTACGTTCCTTGTCTGGGCGCTGTCCCCACTCCCATCCGCCCTCTTGCCACCAACCCTGTTCCTACAGCAGACCTCATTCGTTGAGTATTGTCCATGTATGGCCCCGTACCTCTATTACAGCGTTTGTGCTGTTTTTATTTATACCCCGTCTAAACTTATTATATTGAGATACAATCTATACAGTGAGACATAACTTGATGAATTTACACATCTGTACACCCACATAATCATCACCCAGAGCAAGACCTAAAGCATTTGTAGCAGGTATGCAGGCTCCTACATTCCTCCTCATTACACTTCCTGCAAAAATGATAGTCTTCTGATCTGTCATAAATGATTTTGCCTGGTGTTGAACTTTAGATAAATGGACTTTTATAGTATATACTTTTGTAAATGGCTTCTTTCTCAACCATGTCCTGTGTAGTAGGAGCTGGTTCTTTTTCATTATTGTATAGTACTCCAGTGTGTAAACATGCCAGTAGGATTGATTGGCAAGTTTACATAATGCATTTGGACAAAGTGGTTTGTTACTAGTTTGAAGGTATGATGAATGAACTATGTACGTTCTTTTTTTCAAAATTTTTTGCAGAGCTCGGTGAGTTGTCTCAAGCCTGTAATCCTAGCTACTTGGGAGGCTGAAATCAGGAGGATAGCAGTCTAAGGCCAGCCCAAACAAAAAATTCGAAAGACCCCATCTTAATCAATGGCTGGGCGTGTGGCACCCACCTGTTGTCCCCAGCTACACAGGGCAGCACAAAATGGGGAACTCAGTCCATGCCAAAGCCTGGCCATAAAGTGAGACCCTATCTCAGAAATAACCAGCATAGCCAGGCACCAGTGGCTCATGCTTATAATCCTAGCTACTAATGAGGCAGAGTTCAGGAGGATTGAAGTTTGAAGCCAGCCCAGGCAAATAGTTCCCAAGACCCTCTCTTGAAAATGTCCGACACAAAAAAGGGCTGGCAGAATGGCTCAAGTGGTAGAGCACCTGCTTAGCAAGTGTGAGGCCCTGAATTCAAACCCCAGTACAGCCAAAAAAAAAAAAAAGTGAGGAGTAAATGGGCCAATCCATGGAGGGCAATTACCACAACTGGCACCAAGCACATGCCAGTGTGCAGTAGGCATTTGAACATTTTTGTTTGGAGCATAGGGTTTCTCAGTTAAAAGAAATACATGTGGCCTGGAGACATGGCTCAAGTGGCAAGCATGAGGCCCTGAGTTCAAAGCCCAATACCACCAACCCCCCACCCCCACAAAAACGGCTGGCAGATTGGCTCAAGTGGTAGAGCACCTGTCTATCAAATGCAAGGCCCTGAGTTCAACCCCAGTATCACCCCCAAAAAAATTAAATTGCAAATTGACAAATTATAGTTGTATATATTTATGGTGTACAAAGTAATGGTTTGATTTACGAATACAATGTGGAATAATTAAATCAAGCCAATTAACATATCCACCACCTCAAATACTACTGTCTGCTGTGGTGAGGACCTATGCACATTCTTATGTGTGTCTTTCTGTAGACGTGAACACGCGTCTTTGTGGAGTAGAACTGCCAGGCCATCAGGTGGCACGTGTCTAGATTTAATAGACTTTGCTGCATGGTTTCCCAGGGTGAGTGCAGCGCTTAATACTCCAGCAGCAGTATCTGAGCTGCATTTGCTCTGTCCTCATCAGCACTTAGTCTAGGCAGTTCTTTTAATGTAGCCATTCTGGTGGCTAGATAAGCGTGTCTCATTGCGGTTTTAATTTGCATTTTCCTGGTGACTAAAGATGCTCACACCTTGCGATAAGCCCCATGAGGATTGGGGTAGCCTGTTTTGAGAAGTGCCCGTTAGAGCCTTTGGACTAAGTTTTTGTTTTTCTTTTTGGTGGTGGTGGGGCTTGAACTCAGGTCCTCATGCTTGCTAAACAGACATTCTACCATTTGAACCACTTCATCAGCCCTGGGCCAATTTTATTATGTTTTCCTTAGTGTTTTGTAGGAATTTCTCCAAATTGTGAATATAAGAATACCCGTGTTAGACATTTATACTGTAGAGTTCTTCCTCTCTCTGACTTGCCTTTTCTCTCTTTTCAGTTTTCTGATGAACAGATGTTCCTAATTTCAGTGGTCTACTTTATCAACTTTTGTGTTTTGTGCTTCTCGTGTTGCGTTTAGGAAACCATTTTACATCCCAAGCTCCAAAAGACATTGTCTAGTTACATTTTTCCTGAAGTTTTGTTGCTTTACCTTTTACGTTTAGGTACGTGATTCATCTCACATTAATTCTGGCATATTGTGCAGGATAAGGATTGAAATAGCGAGTGTTTTCTCCGAGGTTACAATAAAACAAGACTGTCCGTTATCTTAGCTTCTGATCAACGTAATGCTGGAGGTTCCACACACCATAGGAGATGAGGCAAGAAAGAAATCAAAGATTGGGACAAAGAAGTAAAATAGTCATTATTTGCAGATGAGTTCTGTGTGCAGAATCTGACCTGTTAAAATTAAGGATGGAGTATGGCTCAAAGGGTAAATCACTTGCCTAGCAAGGGTTCAAGGGTTCAATCTCTGGTACAGCCAAAAAAAAAAAAAAAAAAGGAAAATTAAGCCGGACTCTGGTGGCTCATGTCTATAATTTTAGTTGCTTGGGAGGCTGAGATTGGGAGGATCAAGGTTTGAAGCCAACCTGGGCAAATAGTTCATGAGACCCCCATCTCCAAAATAACCAGAACAAAAGGGACTGGTGGTGTGGCTCACGCACTAGATCACCTGCCTTACAAGCTCGAAGCCCTGACCTCAAACCCCTGTCCCACTGAAAAAAAAATTAAATAACTTTAGCTGGATAAAATATTTAGTCATTGACATTTCTATGTCAATTAAGAAGCATCTGATACCTGCAATATATTTTAACAAATGGTGTTCAAGACCTCCACACTGAAAATTACAAACTGTTGCTGAGAGAAATTACAGGCAAGGCGGGGCTAGGCTGTATTTATTGATTGAAACATGGGTAATGTTACTGATGTCTTATTTTCTTTCATAGCACCTGGCATGTGAACCTTGGCAAATAGGAAGGAATTTTTATTTTAAACTGATGCTAGATTCACAAAAAATGCAGACTAGTATAGAGAGGTTCTGTGTACCTCACACCCAGTTTCCCCCAGTGGTAGCATTTTATATACTGGTGCAATGTGAAAGTCAAGAAGTTGGCATTGCTACAGTTCGCAGCCCTTACTCAGTGTCCACGTTTCACATGTGATTTGTTGTGTGGGTTTGTGTTACCCCCGCCCCCACTACAGCCCTCCAGGCTACATACAGAACTGTTTCCATCAGCACAGAGATCCTTCTTGCTGTGCCTTTCTAGTTCATCCCCTTCCCCTCCTCCAGGTAACCGACAGCCACTGTTCTCCAGCTCTCTAATTGTGTTGCTGTGAATAAGCCAATGAGAAAAACAGATGTATCATTTTGTGCTAAAGTTTAAGAAGACATCAAAGTGGGAAGCTTATCCGCAGAGCCTTAAATAACAGCTATGTATACATGCTGTCTCATTTCTGGTGAGCAATTTTACCTCTCAGAAGCTTGAGTTTTGACCGAATTGCCCCAAATGTTTAAATACCAGAGATCCAACTTGTGCTAATCAGAATTTGACTGTGGAGGCACAGTATGTTAATTTGGGCCAGTGTATTGACTGATTAGTGCACTCTCTTCCCCAAAAGAAACCAAATTACAAGAAATTACCGTCAGGGCTGCCAGATAAGAATGTCAGAGCCAAGGGAATAGCATTAACTATTTCTAGCTTAGAGATGTAGCAACCAGTCTCATGGAAATAGAAATATGATTGTCTTCTTCCTGGGTTCCATTATATAGCAAATGCATAGTTTTTAACTGAATTTGAAGATAATTGGGCAGTTTACAGTTACGTGAGTACATCTTCCAACTCTCAATTGCGTTATTCTACAGTGGCATAAGGTTATGATACGTGTAAATTTCAACTTCACAATGGCCTTTTCCTTGTCAACAAATACTGAGGATAGCCTACTGCAGCCACCAATCTAAGCCACTTGACTTTGTGGCTCTAAAATTCTAAGGTTTTGTCAGTCAAGTGCTGGTGGCTTACTCCTATAATCCTAGCTACTCAGGAGGCAGAGATCAGGAGGATCGTGGTTTAATCCCAGCCCTGGCAAATAGTTCGTGAGACCCTATCTCAAAAAAACCCACCACAAAATAAAGGCTGGTGGTGTGACTTGAGCACCTGCCTAACAAGCTCAAGGTCCTGAGTTCAAGTCCCAGTACTGCAAAAGAAAACAAGAAAAAAATTCTAAGACTTTATAATTTTATGAGGCAGTTTGTTCATTTTGACCTTAAGCTGAGATCCATACCGTATTAGTCAGCTGCCCATTACTGTAACAGACTACCTGAGATAATCAACTTAAGTCTATGAAAGGTTTATTTCAGCTCACAGTTTTGGAGGTTTTGGTCCATAGTTGGTGGACCTGTTTTTGGTCCTTTGACAAAAATTCCAGTAAATCATAATGGAATATGTGATGAAGGTAGCTACTCAACTCACAGTGGCAAAGAAGCAAAACAAGAGAGGAAGAAGTCGATTTCCACTCTCCTCAGCAGCTAACCCCCAGTAACCTGTGACCTCCTGCTAGGCCCCACCTCTGAAAGACTCCACCACTTTCCAACAGTGCCTTCCATTTGTGGGATCTTTGATTGTGCGTCTTTGACATATTCTTGACTTCTTTGTTCTTAGGCAGATTTCGTGCAGACAACTTGAACAAGCTGAAGAACTTATGCAGCAAGACAATCGGAGAGAAGATGAAGGTAAGAGAACTGAGGGCAGCCTAGAGAGCTTGACCTTGTTCTGGCTGTTACCCACCAGTGTCCATCTCAGTGTCTCGATCTGTGAAATGCTGAGTTCCTTACTGGGGGAACATTATTTTAAAAAGAAGAGAAAGCAGGGAGCTAAGATGCACTGTCAGTGACCTCATAGTGAGTCCATTTTTGTGTTCTGATGAGAGTCTTCCATATCAGACATTCACGTCTAGTCCTCCAGGCCACCTTCCCACTGCTTCCTGAGCTCACCCTGTGCTGCTAGGAAGGTTTTCTTGGGCGGTTTTCATCCTAGCGTAGTCCTTCTGTGTGAAAGGAACATAGATGTGCAGTTGTGTCTTACCTTGGCTTCCTGTTAGCTATGTGACTTTTAGGCAAGTTAGCGTCAGAGCCTGTTTCCTCATCTGCACTGTGACATTACAAACACTCACCTATAGGATAGAATTGTAAAAACTATGGTGGTTTTCAGCGAGTGTAGGTTATAATGAATGGTAAGTAGTTGCCCGTCTTCATCCAAAAATACTCCTCCTTCCTTCCTTCCTTCCTTTTTCTTTTCTTTTTGAGACAGGGTCTTTCTATGTATCCCAATCTGACCTTGAACTTGTAATCCTCCTGCCTCAGTCTCCCAAGTGCTAGCATTCTAGGAGTGCATCTGGCCAAAAAATCCTTGGACTTGAAGAAAGTAAATTTCAGCTTAGCTTTTGCTTTGGTATCTAGAATATTTGTGTTTCCAACTTTTCTTTCAAAGTACCTTTTTAGCCCCTATCCACTTTTTTTTTTTTCTCTCGTGCTAGGGATCAAACCCAGGGCCTTGAGCATTCTAGGTAATCATGGTACCACTGAGCCACATCCCCAGCCCCACTTAAACACTCTTTTAAAAAATGTATTAAATGAACCAGGCCTGTTGGTGCACGTCTGTAATCCCAGCACTCCAGAAGCTAAGGCAGGAGGATCAAGAGTTCAAGGCTAGCCTGGACTAAACAGTGAGATGCTGTCCACAAAAAGCATACTAAATCCCCTCCATAATCTAGATCATTTTTAGGTTGCTAACCTTGAAACTGAACCAAAAACATTTATAGAGTTTTGGAACCAGAGCCAGTAAAGAGCATAACACAAAGACCACCTTGGAATTCTAGTACCTTCACTTCACGACAGTCTACATCTTTCTCTTTGACAATATTTGGTTATGCCTTCAGCAGTGGAAACCCAAATCCATAACCACAGTTTTTGTTCCTATGGGACTCAGTGCTTAATCATTTGCAGGTTCAAGATCCCATAGTTAACCTTCGTACTCATGTATGAAGGTACATTAAGGACTGTAGTCAGGTAGTGCTAGCTGGGTGCTTGAGTTTTTGTTGTTGTTATTGTTGCTTTGAGATAGGTTTCGCTATGTAGCCCAGGCTGGCCTGCAACTCTTAATTCTCTTCCTTCAGCCTCTTGAGGCTGGGATTACAGGCATGCACCACCATGCCCAGTAAGCTGGATGATTTCTGTAGCAGTAGGGTGCCGTGTGTGTTTGCTTTCTCAGTAACATTCCTACCTGCAGGGCCTGCTCACTTCTGTTGACCATTCAGTGGCAGTGACGGTGTTTTTATCTGTTCATGTGTAGCACTGGTAGTATTCAAGTACTTTCACACACATCTTGTCTTGGTTTTGTTCTTTCTGCAAAGCAGGAGTGGAGGTAGTACATTTAATCAGCCATCTCTTAAAGGGGAAAGGAATGGACTTAGAAAATTAGGAGTTGGCCTAAAATCACAGCTTGAGTCAGTTGCTTGAGCATTGAATTTGAACTTGCAGCCCTTAGACAGTCTCGGTGCACCTTGCATACATCTTGCTATCATAAGCTCATCCTTATGAGATGATACCATTATAAAAATCTTGACATTTAGGCCATTTTTTCTACCTCAGTAGTCTGATTTTTTTTTTTTGGTAGTGCTGAGGATCAAACCCAGAGGGTCAGGCATGCTAGGCAAGTGCTCTACCACTGAGCTACATCCCCAGCCACAAGCCCCTGTGCTGCTAATGTTCTTATGGAAGCTGCTTCTACCATGTCAGACTCTGCGACTTGTTCAGACGCTTCTGCTCCCAGTCACTGAAGGTGGGATTGTGGTCGTGGTTGCACTCCTGGCTTCTCCCTTTGGTGTATGAGGATCCCTGATAAACTAAGAGAGTCCCATGCTTTATCTTTACAACAGGGTTTAGTCCTTTCTTCAAGTGAGTTTTGTTCAGTGAGATGAAATTATGTAAACACAATTGCCTGCTGTTAAGTAGAGAGTGAAGAAAATCTTCAGGCTTCAGGATATATATAGATACAGATATCTATCTATCTATCTATACTATATATATATTTTTTTTTTCCGGGTACTGGGACTTGAACTCAGGGCCTTAACCTTGAGCCACTCCGCCAGGCCTATTTCCCCGGTCTCGTGGAACTATTTCCCCAGGCTGGCTTCGAACCGTGATCCTCCTGATCTCTGCCTCCTGAGCAGCTAGGATTATGAGCGTGAGCCACTGGTGCCTGGCATCTCCAGGATATTCAACATGCTTTCTAAGCAGATGCTAAATCTCTCCAAATTTTTTTTTTTTTTTTTTTTTTTGAGATGGTGTCACTATGTAGCCCAAGCTGGTCTTGAACTCTGGATCCTCCTGCCTCCTGTCTTAATGGTCTTAAAATTCCCTTGCTCTGTGTAAGGCTTAAAAATGATGACTTGGCCTAGTATAAGAAGAGTGAAGAGAGAAACCAGAGGGAAGAAGAGGAGGGCTGACTCTGCCCTTGGCATTTTGTCGCATTGGGTTGATTGTCCAAACTTAGTTACAGATTCTGTGGTCGGTTTGTTTTCCTTGGCTCTCAGATATTCCGTCATTCCATCCATTTTTTTCCCTTAGCCACAGTGCTGGGATTGTCCCTAGCATGTAGACAAGGAGTCACCCTCAGGGCCTGCTCTTGACTGCCACACTCTCTCTAGTGGGTTTATAGTTCATGAGCATTTCAAACAGATTCTTCTGGATTTCCATGACTGGTCTGTGTCTAGGGAAAGCCATTCTTCTCAAGATTATGATATTAACACTCTCACCCCAACATAAGACTAGATTTGTCCAGGATCACAAAACTAGGAAGTAGCAGAATAAGGACTTGAAATGTTGGCTTCTGACTTTCAGTTTGCTAATTTTTCTCCTGTAACCTCACATCCAGCATTCTGTGACTCCTTTATATGATATATTAATTTCATGCTCACTTCATCAAGCAATGTCACATTCTCTATTATTAATCAAATCGGGTTTTTGATTTCTTCCCGCAGAGAAAAGAGCCAGTGGGAGACGATGAACCCGTTCCTGAGAGTGTGTTGAATTTTGATGACCTCACCGCGGACACTTTAGCTGTAAGTTGCTGTCCTTTTCTGAGCTGGGCTCTGTTCTTTTGTTTTCATTCCTTGACAGCAAGTTGCTGACGCTCTGCTCCACACAGCAGTGTGGGAACCTTGCATTCCTGCCCCTGAGCAGTGTCTCCACCTGTTCACATTACACTCTGTACTAGACAGAGAGACGGTGGAGAGGGAAGGTCCACGGTACGGACAAAAAGAAAAAAGGAACTGAATTGTGTTTGGTTTATGAAACTCCATTTTCTACACTATTTCAAGAGTCAAGAAATTTCTCAATGTATCGTAATTCAGTAAATATTCACCACAGTGGGCCCAGACCAGTAATTTTCTAGTGTTTTCTTCACTGAAACCCTCTCCCTCCCTTTTTTTTGGGGGGGGGGGCAATACGGGGGCTTGAACTCAGGGCCCCACACTTGATAGGGAAGTGTTCTACCACTTGAGCCATCCTACCAGCCCTGATGAACCCTTTTTTGAAACTTAACACATTAGCAAGAGAATAAACCAAAACAGCAAAGTAGCTGTACTTGAAGGCTAGTTTCCTGTCTAGACTGGCCTGCTGAAGGCTCCCCAGGGAATCAGAATACAGTTTGAAACAAGTGCAATAAAAAATACCAAACAAACTTACTGCAATAAAGCGATCATCTTCCTGGACAACATTTAAATGGGTGTACATAATAGAGGGCTAAATTGGTTCAATCAGGAAAATCGGAAGTGTAAATTAAAGGAAAGTTCTCTTAGCCACAGTATTAAAACTCCTGGGATCTCTGGGCAAGGTGGTACATGCCTGTAATCCCAGCACTTGGAAGGCTGAGGTAGGAAGATTGAGAGTTAAGGCCAACCTAGGAGACCCTGTCTCAATTAAAAAAAAAAAAAAGGAAAGAAACAAACAAACAAAAATCCCTGGATGTATAGGAGCAGTAAGAGTGTCCAATATTTACCATCTGTCTTAGGCACATCCAAAGGAAAATGCTAGTAGCGTAAGGCAAGACTACGTATCCATGTGAAATAAATCCCCAGCTTTTCCAAGGTCTTCATTTTCAGTTTTGTTTTTTGAGAGGGTCTTTCCTAAGAAGTCAGGCTGGCCTGCACCTTGGCAATTCTCCTGCCTCTACCTCCCACACTCTGGGATTACAGGCATAGGACTGGGTACGGTGTCCTGGGGGATGAGCCTGGCCTGTTTGTCCACAGACCCTGAAAGTTTCACAAATCAAAAAAGTCCGACTCCTCATCGATGAAGCCATCCTGACATGTGACGCTGAGCGGATGAAGCTGGAGGCAGAGCGGTTTGAGAACCTCAGAGAGATCGGGAACCTTCTGCACCCTTCTGTGCCCATCAGTAACGACGAGGTGAGCTGGGTTGAGGGGCGATGAGGTGAGCCGGGGCTGCCAGGCTCTTTGTATGTTTCTGCTGGCCACCAATTGAGCATTGCAGGAGTCATATCCTTGCCTGACTGGAAAGTGGCAGAGACAGCAGGTAGGAGGAGACTCCTGGCACAGAAATCTCTTCTAAATAGGGCTTCTGGCCTCCAGTGCGTGTTGCCCCTGGTAGCAGCAAGTCCTGTGGGAGGGATCTGCCAAATCAACCTAACCCCCTCACCCACACCCTGCTGGGAAGCTGCAGGTTGAAGAGAAATCTGCATGATAAAAGTTTCCTGCTGAGCGGGAGCTTCCCCAGCACAAAGCTGCTCTGAGCCCAGCCTTTGTTCCCAGACACCCCAGCCGAGGCAGGGCCCATCTGTGCCTCTTTCATTCATTCCCTCGTGAACGGTAGGCTGGGTGTGAGGGAGGCCTTGGAGCCTGAGAGACTCGGAGGTCAGGGCCCTGAGTCCACCCTCACGTGGTCCTGAGACCAATGAGATCCTGGAAAAAAAATGCTCTGCCTTCTCCTCTGTACCCCAGGCGCTGCTGATTGTCTGGGTGGGTTGTCCTTGTGCAGGACTTTTGAGGAGTCATTTAAAGGGGTTTAAGAAAAAAGGGCATGCTATAGATCTCTTAGAAAACCATGATTCCTATTTCATGGCTACAATGCTTCTGGGACTTTGTAAATTGATGTTTTCCTGTTGAGCGGATTCCCTTCTGTAGGCCCCTGTACACAGTGATCAGCAGCTAGCATTCAAGTTAAGCTATGGCCTCACAAAGCTATTCTCGGATAGGGTTTGGGAGATGGAAGTTGTAGAATTAAGAAATCACGGGTCTCTTCTATTCTTGTTTCCTCAGGATGCAGACAATAAAGTAGAGAGGATTTGGGGTGATTGTACCGTCAGGAAGAAGTATTCTCATGTGGACCTGGTAGTGATGGTAGATGGCTTTGAAGGCGAAAAGGGGGCCGTGGTGGCTGGTAGTCGAGGCTACTTCCTGAAGGTAAGAGTCAGGAACCAGTGGGGATAAAGAAGGAACTTAAAGACAAAATTGCAGAAAATCATAATTGTACTTAAAGAGGCCCACAAATCCACCATGTGTACAAGCTGCTTGTCTGCAAACGTGTAGCAATTAGATGCAATTCTCTTTCTACAGCAAAGAGTGCTTATTGAGATTCCACAGAACAAAAGCCACTCAGTGATCCTCCATAGTGAATATGTTTTGCTGACTAAATCAGAACAGTTTCTGCCTTTGAGGAACTCAGTGTAATTGGACAGTCAGACAAGTATCAAAGACTCAAAACCCTGTGAGATGAGCCTGTGGTCTGAGTAGGCCCAGAGAGCTTTGAGAACGGGTAAGGGGAGGCAACAGACCCAAATTAGCTGTGGAAGAGGGCAGATGGATTGAGGGAAAGCCCCCAGAAGGATTTGGTAAAATAATTTTGAAAGTTCAGTGCACTAAAGTGTGCTCTGCATGTACAAATAAGTCCAGTAGTGTAAGATTTAGCACAGGAAAATTCCCATGCCCCCTGGATGAACAATCCATCTTCCTCCTGTCTAAAGAGAATTCTAGGGGTGGGTGCCCGGGTGGTGTGCTGCTGGGTTTTGGTCATTGCAGTCCATGGTCTTCATTGGCCTGCTCTGTGCCCCTGAGTAATCTTGACCACTGCCCAGTTGCCACTGTCAGTTCTCATGGGGGAACAGATGGTGACAGAATCCAGTCACACAGGGCTGTGTCTCTGCTCCTTTAGGGCGTCCTGGTGTTCTTGGAACAGGCGCTTATTCAGTATGCCCTCCGCACTTTGGGAAGTCGAGGCTACACTCCCATTTACACCCCCTTCTTCATGAGGAAAGAGGTCATGCAGGAGGTGGCACAGCTCAGCCAGTTTGACGAAGAGCTCTATAAGGTAAGTATCCTGGGGCAGCATGGTAGACTGCGTTAAACTATGTCGTTCTGTCCAGCAGAACTTTGTCCTGATGGAGACATTCTGTATCCGTGGCTGTCGGACACTTGAAATGTGCCTTGTACAACTAAGGAGACACAATTTTAATTTTAGTTGCTTTTTTTTTTTTTTTTTTTTTTAATTTGATTTGTGACTGGGTTTCATTGTGTAGCCAAAACTGACCTAGAACTCATTGACCTCTCTGCCTCAGCCTCCCAAGCTCGGATTACAGGTATGCCACTACCATGCCTGACTTGCAATTTTTATTTTTTTTGGCAGTACTGACGTTTGAAGTCAGGGTCTCACACCTGCTAGACAGGCACTCTACCACTTGAGCCACTCTGCCAGCCTGCAAAGTTTTAATATTATTTAATTTTGATGTAAACAGCCACATGTGGCTGGTAGTTACCTTGCTAAGCAGTGTAAATTCAGAGCCTCCTTTGTCTTTGGCAGTCAGAGTGATGTATCTAAATTGAGCATATTTTGTCACCAGAAGCTGAGAAAAGAAGCGTCTTTATTGGGTGCTTGGACAAAAGCTGATCTTCCAGCCCTCTTCCCATGTCCTCTCACTCCTGTCTGCAGACTGGAAGCTTCCATAGGGCGAGACATACTTGTCTTAGGATCAGTGTGATTTTCCACTTCCTGGCTCCTACTTAACTAGGGATCATCTTAGGACGACCAGAGGACTCAGGTTGAGTTAGATGGCTCTGACACCAAAGGTAGCACCCCGGGCTGTCAGCACTGACAATTTCTAGAATGTCTCTGCTAAGAGCTGTCCCTAATGGGAGGTCTGCTTTTCACTTGTCCTTCTCCTTCAAGACTCCCAACAAGAGTGGGCACTTCGTTCTTATTGGTAAGTGCACCTAGGCTCATCTGATTGATTGACTGACTGACTGATTTGTGTGGTCTTGGGCATTGAACCCAGGGCTCATGCATGCTAGGAAAGCACTTACACTCCTCCCCCCACACCATGTAGTTTTATTCTGTTTTCATTATTTTCTTCAGCTGGGCACCTAAGTACTTTCTGTAAGGATTACCGTCACTAGATGAACGCTAAGTACAAGAAGCAGGCTATCTCTTTATTGCCCAGCATTGGCCAAAGGACTTGACGCTTGGTAATGCCTCTCAAACATGTTTGGACTGGATTTATTTCCGTTTCCACTAGCGTAGGTGTGTTGCACATCTGCCAGCATTGACCACTTGTTACCATTTGTAAGTGTCTTATTTGTTAGGGAAATGAAAAAGACCTCCTCAATTTGCATTCCTTTGATCTCTATTAGGGACTCCATTTTGGACCGACCCATCCCTCCTTGCCTTTCCAGACTCCCAGGAAAGGATTGAAGAAAATTCCTTTTGCCTCCTCAAGTCGTGTCTTTGTTGAATTTCTTACACAGGCTGAGGTCCTCCCTCAGTGTTAACCAATGTAGATCCTCCCTCCTACAGGTGATTGGCAAAGGAAGTGAAAAGTCGGATGACAACTCCTATGATGAGAAATACCTGATTGCCACCTCTGAGCAGCCCATTGCTGCGCTACACCGGGACGAGTGGCTACGGCCGGAGGATCTGCCCATTAAGTATGCCGGCCTGTCCACCTGCTTCCGCCAGGAGGTGGGCTCCCATGGCCGTGACACCCGGGGCATCTTTCGAGTCCATCAGTTTGAGAAGGTGAGTAGAAGATCAGAGTATCTGCCTGCATAGATGTTCCCAGGAGAGAGAGCTTCTGTGTTCACAGGCCCACACTGGCTCCACCTTTTCCTCTCACTGCTGACATCTTTGTAGGGAAGAGCCTGAGAAGCCCATGGTGGAGTGGGTTTGAGCACAGCCTGGAACCAGGCCCCTGAACCAAATGCTGACTCCTCCACTTACCAGCTGTGTAGCCATGATAAGATGTTCTCCCTCTACTGAGTTTTTCCCTCAGTAAAAGGAAGATAATGACAGTGGTACCCACCTCCCAGGGCTCACTGTGAGGACTGACTAGTCAAGATATGTGAGGTCCTCCACACAGTCACTAGCACTGAGTCCATGGTGGCTCTCTGTAGCATCCATTGTTCTTGTGGTAGTCCAGTCTAGCAGTACTGTCCAGTTGAGTACTGCACCTTCTTGTTGGGGCTCCAGTGCTGTGGGACGAGGTCTTTCTTGCCTGGATACCTCCACTTCAGGCTTTCAGTCTCTTCGTCCTGAACTGCTGTCCCTAGCTCCTTGTGTTCCTCTCTGCAGATTGAACAATTTGTGTACTCATCACCCCACGACAACAAGTCATGGGAGATGTTTGAAGAGATGATTGCCACCGCAGAAGAGTTCTACCAGTCTTTGGGGATCCCTTACCACATTGTGAATATTGTCTCAGGTAGGGGCCTCCTCATCTCGGCCTCCCTTTCCTGCCTCTTGCAGATGCCACCTCACCAGCTGAGCCGCCACACAAAGAGAAAGCCCATCATACAGCTGACTCCTGCATTTGTTAAAATAATCACGCCCCTCTCACTTGGAGATAGGATGTGAAGTAAAGAATCTTTAGGCTGGCTGGAGGCTGGCCTTCTGAAATACCGTCCCTCCTTCCTGAACTCTAGGGGTTTTCCCTTACAGGCTCTTTGAATCACGCTGCCAGTAAGAAGCTCGACCTGGAGGCCTGGTTTCCAGGCTCAGGTGCCTTCCGTGAATTGGTCTCCTGTTCCAACTGCACGGATTACCAGGCTCGCCGGCTCCGAATCCGATACGGGCAGACCAAGAAGATGATGGACAAGGTAGATGGCTTCCAGGGAGATGGGCAGCAGGGCCTCCAGCACAGGGCACCTCCATCCTACTTTTCAGTCCTGGGAGCACGTTAGTTCCCAGTGCCATGGGAACTCAGCTCAATTAAGACCCGAAAAGGCATCTGGAAATGACTTCTACCGAGTCAGGACTGGGCTCGTATAGGTGGAAATCTGGGTCTAGCTCTATTCTACAAGGTAATGCAAGCTCTTCTCTTTCTGGCTTTGTTTTCCTTAACTCCAGAGAAAGAATACTCTGCACATATCCACACAGATCAAGTTGCAGGCAGTGTCTTCCTTCTTTTCACCCAAGAAGGTCGGGTTGTAAGCTCATCTCTCAAACCCAGTCTTTAGACCTTGCTAGTTTGTTCTAAGTTGTGTTTGGCATGGGTTAAAAGGAGGGGCCACCATGGTGGTTTCTTCCTCCCCACCGACTCTCCTTAAAATACTGGCCCTTCCACTTGTCACGCATGCAGGCGTGAGGACTCTCTGGAGTTGTCTGACAGGCAGCAGATGCCAAACAGAATTCACTTTTTCTTTTTTTAAGTTGAAGATGGGTAAAAGCCATCATTTTGATTGGGGTCATTGTCGATGGGGCAGTTCTGGCTGAGTGGTCATCAGGTGAGCCTAGGTGGAGTCTGAATTTCCCTCTGGGACCTTCTCTTCCCAGGTGGAGTTTGTCCACATGCTCAACGCTACGATGTGTGCCACAACCCGTACCATCTGCGCCATCCTGGAGAACTACCAGACAGAGAAAGGCATCACTGTGCCCGAGAAGTTGAAGGAGTTCATGCCGCCAGGTACAACTCCCAATGCAGCTCCTCTTCCTCCTCTTTTCCGTCTTGATGTTCTTCTGGGTGGCAGGCCCCTTGCAGAATGTACCACATTTTCTTGTGAGGCACAGGCCCCAAAACTCTTGTCTGTGCTTTGGTGCTGGACTGCGAAAAGGTCCTGGCTGAGAGCACAGCCAGGGCGGTGGGATATTGAAGTTCTGCTAAAATTCAGACTAGGGAAAAAAAGAATAGAGAAAGCAGTGCCTTCTGGGATCCCTCTGTTCAAAGGGATCATTGTCTTGTTGAGTTCTTCCCGGAGGTCCCTGAGCTCTGAGAACTGACAGGTCATTTGCTTGGCTTTTCTCAGGACTCCAAGAGCTCATCCCCTTTGTGAAGCCAGCACCCATTGACCAGGAGCCATCAAAGAAGCAGAAGAAGCAACATGAGGGCAACAAAAAGAAAGCAAGAGATGTTGCCCTGGAAAACCAGCTGCAGAACATGGAGGTCACTGACGCCTGAACATTCCTTCCTCCCAGTGTGCCGAGCCTCCTTTCTGCCAGCTGGGAGCTCAGGGCCTGTCCTGGAGCAGGGAGGCCAAGCACCACTCATCATCTTACCCCTCCTGACTGCACGCCGAGGGGAACCTCCTGCCACGTACGGCGCAGGCATCCCTGTCGCCTCACCGGTGACTGAAGAAGCCATGTAATAAAGCATCTCTGGGGAGGGAGTATGACTTCCTCAGTCTTCTCCCTGGGTTCAAACCCTGTCTCTGCCCATCCTCTCTGGGACCAAAGTCCTGTCTTCCCTTCCAAATAAGGCTGTACTGAGCAAGACCGAGAGCCCTTCAGTCAGTAGCGAAGGCAGCGGTGGTGGATTTGTAAAGGCTCAAGGGGGATGTGAAAACCTGGAGTCTTAATTAAAAACAAGCTTGCAGGACAAGGGCCAGGAGCCTCTGTAAATTGACTCCTGCTTAAAAACTGAGGTAGGAATAGCTTAGAGACCAGAACTACTTAAAAGCCGAGCACTTAACTTCTCTAGGAAGGGCTCCATGGCAAAGGAAGGAGACTGCGAGGCATCAGGTAACTGAGACTACTCTTTTAAAAGCCCCTGGGTTCAAGAGTTGGGGACTTAGTGACAGAGGCTTCTCTCTTTGCAGTTGTTCCCCAGTGGGTAGACCCATCACATAGCAGCTTCTTGCTTCAACTCCAAAGCCTTCAGATTGCCAGCTGGGCAGAGGGGTGCGGAAGAACGTTCTGTCTTTACCAAGAGATCCCAGTTGGGCTCTAATAGCCAACTCTCCCCGGGGAAGTGGGATTCACGCTCTTTCTTCACCTGCTGCCTTTCATCTTCGATCTGCAACCCTCTGCTCTAATAACACCTTAGGTCAGGCTAGCGCCTCTCCCCTAGCTGGTGGAATACTTCCTCTAAAGGTCCCTTTCATCTTGTATGGTCCCAGAAGGGGGCGTGGGACATGATTATACCTGTTCCCTGGTGGAAGGCAGGAGAACATGGAGTGGGGATGAGACAGCATGGCTTTGCATTTGGGTTTCTTTGGAAGGTAACAGGAGTGGGACCTGGTTTGTCACTTAAGAGCCTCCTGCTCAGCGGCCATATTCTCTAAGCAGTGGCTTCCCAAGGCCTGCTTGAGTTTGGTGCTAAAGAAAGGCCACATGCTCAGTTTTCTACTGGGGTTTTTTTTGGTGGTGGTACTGGGGTTTGAACTCAAGGACTCACACAAGATAGGGTCTCCCAACCTGTTTGTCCAGTTTGGCCATGAACTGTGATCCTTTTGATCTCTGCTTCTCAAGTGCCTGGTGGGGCCAATCCTCTTCATCTTGCTTCTAGAAACTTGTCAAAACCTGGTGCCTGAAAGGGTGACTACAGCAGCTCCCTTGCCTGCTGTGCCAGCTGGGGGCCCCTAGGCAGATTCTGTAGCCCATTGCGCTCAGCTCTGGGCCAACAAAGCCAGGGCAAGAGGACAAAAGAGCCAGCTTCTCCCATTTGTAATTCTGAGCCAGAAACTCAGATTCCTGTAGCCTCAGCCATTAGGTTTGAAGAAAGACAGCTTTTATAGTGAGCAGGAGGCTCTTTTTTGCCCCTGTTCCCTCCCCATCTTAGATGTCTAGCTTAGGCCTGGCCTAAGTGGTCTCCATGGCCGCCTCCCCCATCATATACAATGTCACACGTGGTTTTTGTCTCCTGGTGTTTGTGACCATCCAGCAGAAGGCTCTGCTTTTCTTCAGGACCCAAAAGTCCTGGGCGGGCAGAGGCCCCTGGGCACCCTGGCCTAGCTCTTGCCTCCCTGCACTGCCTGCCTTTCTTACCATGCTAGTTTTCTGGAGCTGGCTGTACTTGGAGGCTGGACGCCCTGAGCAGCCATGCTCCCTGTGCCAACCTATCTGCCATGCACGTGTTTCTTGTATGAACCAACCAGGAACCTGTCTAGGAAGATTGCTGTGTGAACCAAATGGTCTGTTAGCAGGGTATGTACCCCTGCTTCTGAAGCCAGAGGAGAGAAGAATAGTTAATAGTGAAGGTAAGGATGATAAGTCCCACGAGAACACATATGCAGGTGGGTGCACAGACTGACACCATGCCAGCACCAATGGGTGCAGAAGGAATGGGACGCAGTCCTTGCTCTCAAAGAACTCAGTCTATTGGGAAAGGCGTGGCTCACCTTCTTCCAGAGTGAACTGAAAGCCAGACTCCACTCCCTGAAGCAGTGGCTTGTTAGGAACAGCTGACCCACCTGGAAGCTAAGCAGTTGGGAACAGGCCCAGATAACCTTGACTCCACCCTGGTAGTTGCCTCTGCAACCCACAGCTGATGCCCTTATCCCTGGCATGTTGACTGCCCCATCTCCAACCTCAGCTGCCCAGGTTACCTCAGCAAACAACCCCCAGAGGCCCTGTGGGGTGAGTCAGAGCCCTGGGTCCCTCACCAACTCTTGGTTCCCACACCCAGAAATTCAGAGCTCAAGATGCAAGTTTGGGTACTTCAAGTAAGAGACAGTGGGACCTGGTGTCTGGCCTCTACCATGAGAGAGTCAATTAGAAGCCAGGCTTCCAGAGAATAATAAAGGATCAGACAACTGTGGGGACTCAGTATGAGTGGCAGAGATTTGCCTGAGTTTATAGTCTGCTGGGTAGGACAGCTGGTCACCCAAACACACCGGGACTGAACCCTCACCACTGGGAACTGACTCTCCCAGTCACCTGTACTGCTTTTTTTTTCCTGTAGCTTTTCTGGTTTACCCTGGATCCCTGAAGACCTCTCCACCCACCCCCATACCTCCTACAGTGGACCTGGGGCAGCTCTGGCTTCACTCCCAGGATGAGTCTGTCAGGCAGAGCTGGGATGCACCCCGGAGAAATGTGTGCAAGTCAGAGCCTGTGCCAGAATAAGGGACCTGCGCCACTCCCTGAGTCACCTCCCGGCATGGGGTTCCCCAACAGCTCCTCCTAGATAGGAACAAAAAGGGGGTGCATTCTTGCAGTTCCCAACTGCACAGGCTCAAGTGGGACTGATGGCACCACCTATGATACTGCCCTTTTAAGAGCACCCCCCCCCCCCGCAATAGGGGTGTGCTGCAGACTGGGTCTGGGTGCAGAAACCCAGCAATGTGCAGCTTCCCCACCAACCTGCCAGCAAAGAAGCCCCGGACATCAGTTTTCAACCTTCAGGTTAGATGCAGGGGCCCCAGTGACCTCTAAGGAGAACCTTTTTTTCTGGAGGGGAAGATCCACTTCCCAGCTTTTCCAATTGGCTGGTTTTCAAGCCCTGTCTTTTGGAGTGTCCCCAGTCCCTCCCTCCACAGACCTGTCAGAAATGGTCTGGGAAATTACTTTTATTGAGGTGTAAATTACTGATAAGATGGTGTGACCCTTCAGGGAGACTTGTTTTTAAACCCTGAAACTGAAGAATTACACTTCCTTTCAGACTAGCGTTTATTCTTCCCTTCCATCTTGTCTGAGAGGGGGTGGGGGAAATCTTTCTCCAAAGCCAGCCCTTCTCTCCTTGTGCCCAGGGGACTAGTCTTGTCCCCTGAGTCCTTGTTCCTGAATCTCCCCCTTTCTCCCTGTCTTCCCTCCCTTCCAGCCCCTGCCTCTCAAATTCCCCATCTTGAGACAGTGTCCTGCATTCCTGCCTCTGCTGTCAAATTTTCATCCCAATGTGGCTCCTTACTCTCTAAGAGTTATCAATGATGGACGCTTGCAGGCTCTGCTACTTCATCAGCGTTCTCGGCCCTCCTTCCACCCCCTCAGAAAGAATGTGGAATGTTTCAGATGGAAGGGGCAGTGTGAGGGCCCAGGAAAAAAAGCCTGAATGGCAGAGTGCAGATTGAAGCAGGTTTAAGTTGGGACCTGAGAGGAGAAGTAGGCACCTGGTCCTAAATGCTGGTTCCCTGGGCATCTAGCCTCCCTTGTGTCCTCCCCTTGTCTTGCCACGTTGCCAAGCCCATTCTCTCTCACCTGAGCATCTCCACCAGGATCTCAAATCCTTACCTGATGTTCTACCTTCCCCTCCCCATCCTGGTATTCACCCCAAACTGGGAATCATCCTGGTCAACTTCCTCCTCTTCCACTCCAGGCAAGACTTGCAGAGTCCCATTGAGTCCCCAACCACTGCCCCCCCCATGACAGCCTGATCCTCAGCTCCCTCCTGGTGTGCGGACCCCACTCCCTCCTGCAGATGCCCCCTCCCCATGGGACCAGAGTAACCTGAAGGATAGTTTAGCCACGATCAGCCCTCCCCTGCCCACCAAAACACTTCTCACCCAGAGGCCAGGTTCATCAAAATCTGCTCTGCAGGTCCCCATCACGTGCTCTGTGTTCCCGCTCCTGGGACTTCTCCCATCCAGGCACTAATGGTATATCTGGTCCCTTCATGTTTGCTCAAACTGTTCCCTCTGCCAAGTGCCTTTTCCTCCTCCCTATCTGGAATTCTCCCTTTCCTTTCAAGGTGATTCAAATACCACCTCCTTTAAAACCTTTCCCTAACTCTGCCCACATACAAAAATACTGAGGCTATCCTAGTGACAGCAGGTGGCACGCTTTGAGGTCAGAGCTGGAGTCTTACTCATCTATGTCCCTCTCACACCTTGCCACTTGGAACACGACTAACGCCAGGCTGGGCTTCCCCACCACACGCAGGGCCTCCTCTGGCAACCTTAACAAATGATTGCAGGCATTCTTAGCAGCTCAGCCCCAGGCTCCATCTCTTCCCCTCTGTGCTCAGGTATCAAAATGATCTCAGCTGGATTTGGGATGGGGTCTACATGACTAGGGACTGCTAGCTTTTTAAGCCACCCTTGACAGTGCTGGCAATGTGGGTTGACCCTGGCACTGGCTAAGGCATCCAATACCACCTTTAGTTGAGCCTCTGAAGAAAGTCCGGGGCATCAGGCCTACAATCGCTGATGGAAGCTGCACTGGAAATGCAGATTTGTGGTTAAAGTGAGTTCAGACCCAACTGCCTACCAGAAGGAAGCATGAAGAGACACTCGGTCACCCGTGGTGCCATCCACCTATCCGTGTATTCATTTGACCAGTATTTACTGAGCGTCTCCTGTACGGCCCAGGCTAGGTACTAAGTACTCAGGACACATTCTCCCAGGTTTCTGGAGCTTTCTGCCAGTGGGCAAGACAACTGTTAGTCAAGTAAATTAACAGGTACCTACTCTATGTAATTACAAATTACATACATGAAGGAGGGGCACTTGGGATTGCCATGTTCAGGCAGCTGGAAGGAAGCCAGGTGTCCT